AGTCTGACCACCCGATCCAGAAAGTCGCCGCTTACGACAAGCATGGGTTTCTGAAGACGAATTCTAAGCAAGATCTTCACTGACTGGCTGATATCATATTCGTACGTCTCTTGAAAACCATGTGAAGTATGCAACATAGTGGCAGCCTTGGATTTCTGTGTTTATGCCTTGAATCCTCAAACAGAATTAAAGAAATATTCTTATTTTATAAAAATGAGTTTAAACAGGCTTGGCCTTAACTGTTATTTAATGGAGTTTATAGTGACAAAAACAAATTGCATAGTTAGACAATCAATTGCAATGGAATCTCTTGCAATGTATTTAGTGAGTGCCCCCTCGACTCCAAGATAGTGGAGGTGGGGTAGCCTAGTGGTTAAAGCGTTCGCTCTTCATGCCGAACACCCGAGTTCGATTCCCCACATGGGTACAATGTGTGAAGCCCATTTCTGGTGTCCCCTGCTGTCATATTGCTGGAATATTGCTAAAAGCAGCGTAAAACTTCAAAACTCACTCCAAGATAGTTAGACCCAGGTAATCTCTGTGACTGTACACAGGGTATCAACCACTGGTATGGCTTGTCCAGGCTTCCCTATAGACAATGGTTACATAGCTCTGGTATTGCTGACAGTGGCCACACTGTGATGACAGAGACCTAGGAATGTAGCACGGGCGTGTCATGTGTCCAGGGCATGGTTGGCGAGGTTTATTGCAGGAAGTGTGTGCATAGCATGGAGATAACAGAAATAAATGATCTTTAGACTCAGTGAACATAAAGGTACACTCTGCTAAATAACCTTGTGCTCATTTCTGTACATGTGGAAACAGTGTGAATATGATTATCGTATATATATTGATATCTACATCATAGAGAGTGAGTGAATATAGTTTTACGTCACTCTTAGCAGCATTTCAGCAATATCACTGCACAGGACATCAAACTGAACACAACATACCATGTGGGGAGTCAAACCCAGGTCTTTGGTGCAGTGAGCGAATGCTTCAACCACAAGGCTACCCCACTGCCCCTGATACACAAAATAAACAGTGAGATAGGAGACAGACAAGGGAGTGATTTACAAAACTTCAGGGAAACTTAGTAGCAGCCTTGTCCTGCTTTTGTGCCACTGTGGGAAATATTCAAGATACGTATCAAGGGTTTATGATCCATGTTGTTGGAGTGTGGTTGATGGTCAAAAAACTAAAGTATGATTACTGAGGTAAAACTTGAGAGGAATTGCCAAATTCAAATGTCTATCAAATGCTAACACAATAAAATTGCAAATTCAAACTTTTTAGATACATACTGCCATCACTGCTACCACTAACAAGCACTATTTCACAATGTGTTTAAAGGTTAATAGAACATTGGACATGCCGGGGGCCGAGTGCGTATTGCAATATGACATTTACCGACTTCCAGACATTTGCTAAAATTATGTTTATAAAAGATATTGTTTTAGAAAATGTTGAAGGTATAGAATATTTGAAACAAATAAGTATTGAATATTTTCGTTTTTATTGACGTTATAAGCCACCATGGTTTTTGCTTCACAAAGTAGTGATAAAGATATATGACGTGCAATGAAGGAAGAGAAGTTTGCGTCTATCATTGTGTAGAATTGCGGAACATGACACGATTGTTAAGACACATGTCACATGATTTTAACCTGTTTTTATCGTGACACGGTTAAGTCGTTATTACAGTTTAGAACAGGATGTGCAGTGTGGTTGTATTCGTGGTGGTAATCACGATATAGAAAAGTGATTGTTGTCATGTTTGATTACTTTGTGACAGTTATTTTCCTCATGCATTTATAAATATGAATCCCTTTGAATATTTTCAAATTTGCTTCCTATTTTTCCTATATTCACTTCTTATTTCTGATAACTGCTTGCGGTAGGAGAACTAAAGTACTGTTGGAAATAGAAGAAAACTGTTTTCAGGCTGTTACTCTGTATATCTACAATTTACACAATTGCAAATAGCATATGTCGAAATAACCCATCGGCCTAACTGGTCGTTCAGTGGGATGCGTAATTAAAGGATATCCAGAAAAGCATGTTACTCGTAAAATTGGGCAAGACTTAGAAAAAATACGAATAGCTGCTGAAAACAATAGATCAGACTATAGATGGCAATTAGGTCGCTCAGCCGGGTATGACTACGGACCGTCGACTCACCTGGCATGAAATGCACATGCTGCCTACGGGCACAAGGGGTCATCTCAAAGATATTTTATGCTTTCTCATGTGTGTTGAATATGTCTCATCTATTGATTGACATCTTACCTGTCTTTCTTTCACAAAGTTTGTGGAGATATGTAAAAGAGAATGATACCCATAGAAAAGCTTAAATCAGCCTTCATATTAAATGTCTCAAAATATATAGGTGGCATGACCAGCCGATGAATGACAGGACTGGATAGTATTTGTAAATTGTTATGACATGCTGTTTGCTTCCCCAATCTATTTCTCTAAAAGGATTATCTTATCTCAGCTGCTATCTCTTTCATCCAGCCCGACCCCAACCGCCGTCTGTGACACCCGTCCTGACACACCGTTAGAGACGACCCCTCCTACCTGTTTCTTTTTATAGTGACAGTGAGACTCCATGGTAGCTACATCTTTAATAGTTTCAGTATTAAATTTATTATTGTTTACGTCAGCTATCGTTTATAATAAAGATAAGTTTATTTTTGAAATAAACATTTGAAAAGTGTCCTTTGCAATACTGTGTAATCGCACACTAATTTGCATAAAGTCATGGTCTGTTCCAAATAAGTCGCTTTGGACTCAGAAGAAAACCGCATTGCTTATTTCTGCACTAATCTCTCCTCAGTAAAGTCCTTTTTCTACGTTTCCCATCTCTCTACCACTGAAACTGTAGTTAGGCCGAACTTAGTTTAACAGATATTTCACACTTTCATATATCAACTACATAAATTGTAGATATAAATGCGAAAAATCAGGTTTTTTCTATTTCCGACAGTACTTTAGTTATTATCCCATCTCATGTGTCCCTCTCTGATAATATAAAACATCCTTTTGATATACGATTTGCCTACAAATGTGTAGAATAGACAAGGGATGCACAATTGTATTCTTATTACCATTTGTTTCAAGAAAAACAGGTCTGTAATATATGTATTACCTTCAAATCTTATAGTGCCATAAGAACACTTTTTCCTGCTAGGATCCTGCTAGCTGGATCAAGTTTAAACATATTTGATTGTTTTGTATTTATGTGTCCCTAGCTGTGTAATGGAAGTCAAGTTTAAACATATTTGATTGTCAATGGAAGATTTTTGTATCAGGTGTATGTGGTCAGTGGAAGATGGTGATCATCATAATGGAAGTGAACTGTCATGGCTGTCTGCTGAAACACTGCATGGCTTCTGAGAATGTTATTACGGGTCAATGGAAGATTCTGTCCTGTGTAATGCCACAGTAATCTCAATGGAAGATTCTGTCCTGTATGCCACAGTAATCTGTTCGAGTTGCATCCAGTGTCTGCTGAAACTGAGGAATGTTATTACGGGTAAATGGAAGATTCTGTCCTGTATGCCACAGTAACTGCATGGCTTGAGAATGAGAATGTGCATCAGTGTCTGCTGAAACACTGCATGGCTTCTGAGGTCAATGGAAGAATGTCAATGGAAGATTCTGTCCTGTATGCCACAGTAATCTGTTCTGAGTTGCGTCTGAGTGTCTGCTGAAACACTGCATGGCTTCTGAGAATGTTATTACGGGTCAGTGGAAGATTCTGTCCTGTATGCCACAGTAATCTGTTCGAGTTGCGTCTGAGTGTCTGCTGATTATTATTGTCCATAATTGGGTGTCAGGCTTTAGGGCTCACCGAGATGCCGATATGTCTGATATTCTATCCCCGGATATACGTCCAACTCACTCTCTTACGTATGAGAGCTAATATTTGTATTGGGAATCACCGTTGACTGTCAGCAGCATTTGAATTAGTGAGTGACTGAGTGATTTTAATGCGACTTTTAGCAATATTTCGGCAATATATTGTTCTTCGACAAAAGAAATGTGGGAAATTGAATCTAAATTTTCTTTATGAAGAGGCAATGCTTTAGCTACTTGGCTACCCTCCAACTGTAATTCTTGAATGGTTGACTACCATGGTAGACCAACTGTCTGTGTTTTCAGTGTGATCACACAACTTCTCCTTTACATCCCTGTATGGATGTGATGTTGCTGACTGACCTGATGTAGACTTTACACACGTGGGACACCGTACCTTCTAGACAGTTCACACACATCATGCAGGGACACCGTACCTTCTAGACAGTTCCCACACGTGGGACACCTTACCTTCTAGACAGTTCCCTCACGTGGGACAGCTTACTCTCTAGACAGTTTGCACACGTGGGACACCGTACCTTCGAGACAGTTCACACACATGGGACACTACCTTCTAGACAGTTCCCACACGTGGGACACCGACATTCTAGACGGTGCGCAACCAACACAGTGTTGATCTTCTGTAATAACACACCATATGTTGTAGGGAAGACATTATAGTCACACTGAAACAGACGGTCAAGCACTGGAATCAACAAGATGAAGTACATTTGACTGCCACTTTCACTATGACAAAGGAAGAATATATAGTGATTTCTAGTTTAAAATGATTGTTGAGGATTGATATTGATGAAACCTGCTCCATGAGAATGAATTTTGGAACTAATGTTTGTGAAATGATGGTGATGGTTTTGATGGTGATGTTGTTGATGGCGATGATGAAGACGGTGGTGATGATGGAGATGATGATGATGATGATAGTGATGTTGATGGAGTAGATGATGAAGACGAGGGTGATGATGATGATGATGATATTGTTGATGGTTTTGATGGTGATGTTGATGGTGACGATGAAGATGGTGGTGTTGATGATGGTGGTGTTGATGGTGATGGTGATGATGATGGAGACAATGATGATGATGATGGTTTTGATGATGATGATGATGATGATGTTGCAGGACATGGAAGAACCACACGTTAGCAGAGGAGATGATTCGCCAGCTGGAGAACCAGGGGTTGCAGATGATGCGAGAGAAACAAGACTACTTTGGTAAGGATGACTTTTTTGTCTGGTGAAAGAATTTGCTCATACAAATATGGCTAACTGCTGTCCCATGGCCACATAGAAACCGCATAGGTCCACCTTGAAGCGAAGACCAATAGGCCGGATTGTCTCACACATATCTGTGATGAGAGTGATTTGGTTTACTGCCACTTTCAATAGTATTACAGAAATATTATGGGGTTTGAACCGGAGTAATAATGGAGTAACACCTGGCGTGGTGAAGGTATCACATTTTCTCCACTTTAGTGAAACACACGCAGAGTTACTGTGCTGTTAAATCAAGATACATAATTGGGGCAAGCCAGGATTCAAACCCGTGATCGTAGGCTCCTGGTGTGCTCAAGGGACACAACTCTACATAGCTAATTGTGCTGATCTATACCATGAAGATCGAACATCCACTCAATTTCAGCTTGAACATGAATGTAGTACTTGTGTGTGACTCCTACCAGGAATGCTGCTCTATGTGGTGTACAGGAGACTGATTTACGTACTAACCAGTCCATTATTATTTTTATGGTATTTTTTCCAGATCGCCTTCAGAGTGAAGTGAGTGCTTTGTCAGAAGAACGAGAAAGAGCTGAGGTAGGTTGGAACACAAAAACTGATTCTTTCAACTTTGGCACAGCTATTGTCTCCAGGAATGGTGGACCAAAATATTTGTGTAACTCATAGAAATGATTATATCTGTGTACTGCATTAACCGGCACAATACAGACCTAAGTAATACAATACTGCGGTAAAATATCCCAGGCAATCTCCTGCCCTGCTCAATCTCCATCAAACAGTGACATTCCATTTCTTAATGAATGCTTATCATTTAGAGGACATTAAATTCTGTTTGAAATCTCTGATGATCTGAATTTATCACTAAGTTGACATGTAAGATAACCCCCAATTATATCTCCATCCCTTTCTATACCTGATCAACCTGCATGTTTCTCCACCTACTGTGTTGAAGGAGCTGGAGAGGATTAATCAGGAGCTGGAGAAGGAGAGACAGAAGCTGGAAAAGTTCACTCAGGACATCAAGGAGGAGTATGAGAAGATCAGAGAGTAAGTGTGTCTGGGAGGGAGGAACATGATATTAGACAATGGAGGAATGGTGACTTTGTCATCAACATACTTCATTAGGGCATAGTCATGATCTTAGCAAATTTTGATCTGACATTATTCCATACCATCACCAAACATAAAATATGCCTTTAGGACATTTTGGATAAAGTCAGCATATTAGAAAGGGACTAATATTAAATCCATAATAGTATGAGGGAGAATTATGACAAGATATCAGTGAAGGAGTCGGACAAGATATTTGAGGGGAATATGACAAGATATCAGGGAGGAATACGACAAGATATCAGGGAGGGAATATGACAAGATATCAGGGAGGGAATACGGCAAGATATCAGGGAGGAATACGGCAAGATATCAGGGAGGAATACGACAAGATATCAGGGAGGAATACGACAAGATATCAGGGAGTTATACGACATGATATCAGGGAGGAATACGACAAGATATCAGGGTGGAATACGACAAGATGTCAGGGTGGAATGCGACAAGATAACAGGGCACACTCATGGGTAACATGTTAGAGGTGAAACATGAGGAGGGCTCATTCTGTCAAATCGGGTAAGGGGAGATAACTCTGTAAACATGATTCTGAAAAAGGGGCAGATACATAGTTGCATATGTTGCCAGTGAGCTGGAGGAGACAATGGACACGATGCGGATGCTGGATGATGATCGCCAGCAGCTGTCTGAGACCATCGAAACACAGCAGGATCAGCTTCAGGTACAGACTGTTATGGCCAGAATCATGATGCGTTTTGCCATGTTACATGCTTTTACCGTCACCATCAGTCTTTCAGCCAGTGAAAATCTGGCTTAGAATTGGTCTTCATTAACCAATGCTTGTCTTAAGGGACGACTAGAGGGATTGGGCGCTCAGGCTTGCTGACTTGGTTGACACGTCACCGTATCCCAATTGTGTAAAATTGATGCTCATGATGTCAATCACTGGATTGTCTGGTCCAGACCCGATTATTTACAGACAATGGTCATATAGCTGGAATATTGCTCAGTGCAGCTTTAAGCAACAAACGAACAAAAACCAACAGCCTGTCACCAAATTGCAAACTGTAATTTTAAATGTGTGCATGAGTGACCCTGACAATGGTGTCTAGATTGTCTCTTCTGTATCCCAGGTGGTATTAACATAACATCATTATGGTTTCTGCTGATTACTTGTCCATATGTAAAGGTTTTAGTGAGAAATTTGGTTCACAGTAAATGTGTTTTAAGTTCATGTGATCCAAGGCCTTTCAAAATAACCTTTGATAGTTGAAGAGTTCAAACTATTTCAACACATGCATTTTCTTTTCATCTCCTGAATGACCAAAGCATATTTCTGTTGTAAAAACAGTTATGAATGCCACCTATGGAAGGTATTGTGACTATATCTAAAAACAAGAGAAATCTTGTGGCACAAGCATTCACCCGTCGCACTGAAAACACAAGTGAATTTTTAAACTTATCCTATCTCACGACTTGCACCTCTCTCTCTTCATTCGACCATGAGTGGAAGCGAATTAAAACTTTGCTCCAAGGCCTACCTTGCCCCTCTCCCGTGCTGTGCGTGCCTTCTGTGTCAGTCGTGCTCACTAGTCCATGACAGCCACGAGGCATCGCGCATGATCCTCTGCGTGATCACCTCACATACTCATTCTCTTTCTTGTGGCTCCACTGAGTGGGCGTGAAAATTTTCGTCTGAGAATTGCTCAAAATGGTTAAGCCTGTTAAGGCCAGTAAGCGGAAGTTTTCGTCCGTTGTAATAAAGTATTTTCAGCATGGGACCCTCACACATCGTGTGTTGATTGATTGTGGGTGTTTGTGACTGGGACACACGCTGTCCTAAGTGTTCAGGTCTGTCTAATGAGGCGTTTAAATCTTACAAGCGTGCTTGTGCCAGGCGTTTGGCAGATAGGGCTAGGACTATTTCTGCGGGGTCTGGTCCATCTCCGCTAAGAAACAATGCTTAGATCGCCCCACCCTCACTGCTCACCGTTCTCAATCGGCCGTCTAAGCCTGGCGAAGATTTTATGGGCCAACCGTCAGATTCCTATTTATCTGAGAGCGTGAGGCGGCTTTTAGGGAGGTTCCCTCACCCAGTTCACGTTCTCAGGGCGCGTACCAGGGTGGTAATGACCGATATTTCTTCTCGCCAGACCTGCGATCTACATTATCTCGTAGGTCTGTTTCTTGAGCGATCACAGACCGAGAACTTCTAAGCATTCATCGTCAAAGCGGGGATCGTAGCGGTTGGAGCGATACCCGTTCTCCTAATTCCACGGTTTCATCTAGCGGAACAATTCACCACACGAGTTGAATCACCATCTGGTGCGAAGGTTGAATCGTTCTTCCACGGCTGGCAAAGAGTCGTTCTAGGTCTCGTTCACTTTCCCGAGCGGCTCACCCGCCCGAGCCTGCGAACCGACTCACATCGCCGAGCCGGCTCACATCGCCGAGCCGACTCACACAGCCGAGCCGACTCACCTAACCGAACCGGCTCACCTTGCGAACCGACTCACATCGCCGAGCGGCTCACACAGCCGAGCCGACTCACATAGCCGAACCGGCTCACCTTACCGAACCGGCTCACCCTGCCGAACCGACTCACATCGCCGAGCCGGCTCACACAGGCGAGGCGGCTCACCATAGAACCGACTCACCCTCGAACCGGCTCCACGGTTGAGGCGGCTCACCAGAACATCCTCGAATCAAATGAGTTCACCTGGCCGAACTGATTCCGTAGTCGAATGGGTTCCTCGAACTGGGTTCAAAGGGTTCACCAGGACGAACGGGTTCACATTCCGACTCAGTTCACCTCAACATAGGTTTCAGTTCGACACACCATCAGCGTTTTGATTCCCGTAGTCGTTCAGTCTCGCCTGGTCGAGGTGGTTGGCCATTTCGATCCGGTTCACCTAGCCGTAAGGTGTGTTTTCGTCAGAGTGATTCTCGAAGTCGGTCTCATTCACTTTAGGTGAATCAGGATATCCGTCTTGTCAGTCTAGACTCAGTAAGCGTAATTTTGCGCACACTGTAACAATATTTACTTCCTCGGATCCCCAATCGTCATGTTCCTGGAGCAAGCGTTGTGGGAATGTGCTCCCTTATTAAGGGCGTTTTAGAGCATGTAGACATACTTGCTCGATGGCTGGCAGACAGAGCTCGTTACACTTCAACAGTTGATCACCCGACAAACCCGTTTTTAGCGGCCGGTATTAACTGCTTTCGTCGTCCGCAGTTTCCCATGTCGAGCGGTGATAATTTTATGGAAGCATCATTAGATGTCTTCGTGGTTCCGCCTCATCAAAGCGCTCTGTGTTGCCAGTTGACTCACACATCCGATCTACGCCGTCAAATCGCCCGAACCGATTAAGCCACCCGAATCGGTTAAGCCATATACCGAATGGATTCACCAGACCGACCCGTTTAGCCATGCCGAATGGATTCACCACCAATCAATACGGTTAAGCCATCGGTTCGCCCGAATGGATTCACCACACCAATCGGTTTCGCCATACCGAATGGTTTCACCAGATCATTACCATCAAATTGCCAAACCCGGTTCACCACGCCCGAATCGGTTAAGCCATACCAAATGGATTCACCAGACCGAACCGATTAAGCCACACCGAATCGGTTAAGCCATACCGAATGGATTCACCAGACCGAACCGTTTATGCCCGCCGTATGTGAATCGACATTGACTCAGTTTGCCATAATATTAAGACTGTTTCTTATGGCGAAACAGTTCACATCATCGATTCAATTCACAGCAGCGAAGCGATTCACCTCGGCGGAACATTTCACCTCGCCTCACTGGTTCATCTGGCGTTCTAGATCTCTCCATCAGCTGAGATCATTTAACGGTTCGGATTACCGAACCGATCCAGATCAGATCGCGATTCAGATCACATCGGACTGATTCAGATCCGATCAACTTTCGGCTCACCACCCTGAACTGATTTACCAGCCGGCTCGTATCGTTTCACCAGGTGAAAGCTCCCTATCGTCGAACCAGTTCACCTGGCGTTCAAGATCAATGTACAGAAGGTAGTAGCTATGTGCTTCACCATGCCGATTTGATTTACATGTGTTGTTAGTAGCGCAGTCATCTAGAGATATCATTTCGGCGCTTGGCGGCCTGGCGATCCCAGTTCTCAAGAGTCCTCCGTGACGGAGCTCATCTCATTCAGATTTAATCTACCATCCGATCTTCACTTTTGATGAATGATTCGGTTCAGCGATTCTACCCGCCGGTGTAGATATCAGTTCTGCAACCACCGATATGGCATAACTAGATGCGGCTTGCGAGCCAGGAATACTCTCTGACGCTCCGATGAGTCTTGTTACTACAGACTACTTTCGTAACGAAGCGTGTTTGTGTATCCTTGGTGCAATTGTTGCAGGCGACTCGTCATCTTCAGCTCCCTTTGTTTTACATGTTAAGCAAGTTTCTGGACAGATAACAAATGGATGAAGTTCTTGCGCATAATTACCGGCACTGTTTTGTCAAATAGCCAGCATAGCTCAGCCGAATTTATGGGTTGCGACTTCGCCGGTTAACCAAAGACCAGGTTGTCCATTATTTTTGTCACTTTCGTGTGTAGCGTTTGCAAATGGCGGACTACTGTTTCATTTACGGAATTTTGATGATTAGAGTGACTATGAAGTGCCCTTGCAGAATTCTCTTGGTCCCACGAATCGGATACCAAGTCCAGCCTATAAATGCAAGTAACAACGAGCAGCTGCCATTCCGATAAGAGTGACTGTGTCGGAGTTTTGACAGCCAGTCGAGAGAGACTGCTTATTGAGGGTGCCGGACAGAAACACCCGTGAGCGGTTTGCCTAGTCAAGCACCGAGTTCAGAGGTCACTGCATTATGCAAGGATTGTCACCAGGCAGCGATCTACTACCTATATCACTCCACCTGGCGCACAATTATTTTGTTAGGCCAAAGAAAGCGTTCCTGAGGTCACCGATCCTCACAATTTCTACAATTTGTTTATAATGTGAGCGTTCCTGTAGATTGACTGACAATCTCCATGCGCCGAACATACTACATTGAGCACTCCGTCAGAACTGGCGTAGTTGCTTTCGACTTATTGAGCGTTCTTATATCAGGAGATATCTTTTTGTCAGAGGCAAGAGTGGTTAGACCTCTCATTTCCCTCGACCTCTGCGATGGCCGTGGGGTAGCCTAGTGGTTAAAGCGTTGACTCGTCGCCCAAGACCCGGTTCGATCCCCACATGGGCACAATGTGTGTTCAGCCCATTTCTGGTGCCCCAGCCGTGATTTTGCTGGATTATTGCTAAAGGCGATTGTAAAACTAAACTCAGTCAGTCAGTCAGTCCCTCGACCTGTGAGGCGCCTACCTTCACATCGGATACATCCAGACTATTGGAAGTATCTTGATTTACTTTTATGGGGCGTCCTTGATACCAATGGAGGATCCTGCTGTATGGGCATATCGCAGCCCGTGGGTTTTACTCAGATAGCCATTCTGTTAACCAGCTACCTGCATTGTCGGCGTGACAATTGACAACAATATCGGCGACTGTGTTCAAGCCCAGCAGGATCAGTCGTCCTTCCTTTCCACAGACAGTTCATCATCAAGTTGCTCGCGCAATTAGGATGGCTGCTAAATTGAACAATCAGGGGTAACACCGACCAGCTGTTTCTTCTTATTGGGACAATATTCAACCACGCCAGGTCATGATGTTTGTGCCCTAGGAGAGGTGGGACAAGATTCAGTGCAGCGCACCACTAGTGTTGGTCCAACCCACACCTTTTAAGCCAGTGGCAGAAGTTACTAGGGTGGTTGGCGTCGGCACAAGTGCTGACTGACAGGGGGCCAGCTGCAGCTTGCCCTCTTCAGATGGTTCTGTGCCCATACATCGGGGCGACAACCCCAGGGGAGTTGATTAGTCTTCCCGCACAACTACATTCAGTCTTTTCGTTGGTGGCTCAACAAGTGGAATGTTTGTGTTGGAGTCTCTAGGGTGCCCTTCATACCGACTCAACACCTATTAGATTTGGCACATCTTGCAAGCTGGAGCTCACTTTCTCCATCAAGTGGCCTAGCAGTGGTCATCAGGAGAAAGGGCCCTTCATCAGCGAATTGGAATTCAGCATTGTCATTATCGCCTGTTCGGGCTTGGGACAACCATCAGCTTCAGCGCAGATGATCACCAGTTCGCGATCGTTTCTGCTTTGTGTACAATCTGAATAAAATTCTGAATTTTATTTCTGATTTGTGTCTTCGATTCTTCTGGGACTTGTGAGTTTCGATTCAATTACCCTTTCACTCTCCGCGGGGCCGGTGTCTGTGGGGGTTGTGTCGAAGCAGGGGCTGGCCCGATACTGGTCGTCAGACCTTGGAAATCGTGGTAATGCGACTGTTTACACTTTCGCTAAGCTCGTCCTTTCACTTTCATGAAGGTAGTGACTGAACACCACATTGCTCGGGAATCCGGTCCCTGGAGCACTTGTGTTTAGTAAGTCAATGGGTTCGAACTGACCATTGCAGGTCTAAGCTTTTGAGGCGGCTGGAGGTCGCCACCTCACTTACTGTCCTCTGCTCCGCAGTTTATTCGTCAGTAAAGTGAGTCATTCGAAGTGTTACGCCGTGGCGTTACAACAAAGCATCGCCAAAAGGCGCGCCCGTCTGCGTAGAGACTGTTTATACCCTTGTCTACTGCTTCCAAAGGCGGAAGTCTCTGCACAACACTCTCATATTGGCTCACGAGCTACAATACTACGAGCCTACACTTTTGCGGTTTGCCACCACCTCACGGCAGTCAACCCTCATGAAACCAGGGGCATTGGCTACTACTATGGCGTTGCATAGCAACTGCTTTCGTTAACTGCCATAATGGAGGGTTGTTTTTGGCGATCTGACACAGTATTTTCGTCTCATTACCTCAGAGATGTGCCGGTGGCGGATATTCAAGGCCTTCATCAGTTTGGACCATTCGTCCTTGCCCAGCAGTTATCAGCGGCACAACATCGCAGATAATGAACTTCCTTGTGCTCCGATGCTATATGGATCCCACTGTGCAGTTGATCCCAAAGTCGCGATCGTTTCTGCTTGTGTACAATCTGAATAAATCTGAAATACTTTTTTTTCTGATTTCACGTCTTCGGGATTTAGATTTCTCCTCTCATTTGTTTGAGACTACAGAGTCGCCACCTCACTTACTGTCCTCTGCTCCGCGGAGTAATTAAGTCAGTGAAGTGAGTCCTTCGAAGTGTTACGCCGTGGCGTTCATGCTCCTAAGTGCCTATACACATCTATGTGATCTTATTGTGGTAAGTAATGGAAGTCATAAGATGATGTTGTGGTACTGAGCGTTAAAATTGTGAGTTTACGATTCAATTTCTCTTTCACCCTCCTCGGGGCCGGTGTCTGTGGGGGTTGTTTGAAGCAGGGGCTGGCCCGATACTAGTCGTTAGACTTTTATTACTGGGGTACCTTGGAAATCGTGGCGATCGACTGATTACACTTTCGTTAAGCTCGTCCTTTCACTTTGTGAAGGTAGTGACTGAACACCACATTGCTCGGGAATCCGGTCCTGGGAACAATATGTGCTTAGAAAGTAAGTCAATGGGTTCGAACTAACCCTGCATGCGTAGTAACTTGGTAGTTATTGGCCTACCTTGTAGTTGCTTCCCTCACGGTTGTTTGGGCATAACACTTAGCTGTTATCGGCTTGAATTTCGGGTAATCTATGACCCACCTTCCTACCGTGGGATAAGTGCAAGTCGTGAGATAGGATAAGTTTAAAATTTGAAAATTTTAACTATAAATTGTATATTTATATACTTATCCTATCTCGCGCGATAAAATCCCTCCCTACCTCCCCACTACATAGATTACCACCGTTCGGTTTGTCCTTTTATGGCTCCAAGATCGAGAATGAGTATGTGAGGTGATCACGTGGGTGAGGACTGCGCATGCCTCGTGCTGTCATGGACTAGTGAGCACGACTGACACAGAAGGCACGCACAGCACGGGAGAGGGGCAAGGTAGGCCTTGGAGCAAAGTTTTAATTCGTTTCCACTCATGGTCGAATGAAGAGAGAGAGGTGCAAGTCGTGAGATAGGATAAGTATATAAATATACAATTTATAGTTAAAATTTTCAATAATGAGAATTATTGGGTAATTATTGAAAGTATTGTTTAACTCACTGACATTTAAGGCATGCTGTTTCAGGTTAAAAGAGAATGAAGAGAAAACCTCACAGTTGGAGGAAGAGAAGCAGAACTTCAGTGAACATGCACAGGAACTGCAGTCTACAATAAAGGTAATAGAAACACTAAACAATCTCAAACATGCCCTTTTAGATCACTCATCCCCCCCACCAACTCACCCATCCATTAAGCCATCCACCAACTCAAACAACCAATAAGCCACCCACCAACTCACCCATCCATTAAGCCATCCACCAACTCAAACTACCAATAAGCCACCCACCAACTCACCCATCCATTAAGCCATCCACCAACTCAAACTACCAATACGCCACCCACCAACTCACCCATCCATTAAGCCATCCACCAACTCAAACTACCAATAAGCCACCAACCAACTCACCCATCCACTGAGCCATCCTCCAACTCAAACATTCATTATGCCATTCACCAACTCAAACAACCAATAAGCCACCCACCAACTCACCCATCCATTAAGCCATCCTCCAACTCACCCATCCATTAAGCCATCCACCAACTCAAACATTCATTATGCCATTCACCAACTCAAACAACCAATAAGCCACCCACCAACTCACCCATCCATTAAGCCATCCTCCAACTCACCCATCCATTAAGCCATCCACCAACTCAAACAACCAATAAGCCACCCACCAACTCACCCATCCATTAAGCCACCCACCCACTCAAACATTCATTATGCCATTCACCAACTCGCCCACCAAATAAGCCACCCCCAACTCACCCATCCAAAAATCCATTCACCAACTCAAACAACCAGTAACCACCCACCAACTCAAAAAGCCACCCACCAACTTGCCCATCCACAACTAACCCATCCAATAAGCCACCCATCAACTCCCCACCAAATAAGCCACCCACTTACTCAAGCATTCACTAAACCAAAAAACAACGCCCATCCATTAAGTTACCCACCAACTCGCCCATTGACTAAGCCACCATCCAAGTAGCATATCCACAAAGCAGTCCACCAACTTATCTATCCATAAAGCAGCCCACTAGACAGACAAGCACACTACCCAACAGTTTTACCATCACTGTTCCAAAGAATGCTGACTCGGATGGTTGTGTTTGTTTGCAGGACCTTGTCACACAGAAAGAGATTACAGAAAAGGAACTCAGGGTGAGTGTTTCAAACAGCATTGTCAACAGGTGTTTGTAAAAGTACGACTGTAACTGAGTATCAATACCTAAAGTACTGTCAGAAATAGAAAAAAAACTATTTTCAGGCTGTTACTCTGTACCCCTAAAATATTCACAACTGCAAATAGAATACTGGGCATTCAGTGGGATGCGTAATAGGATATCCAGAAAAGCATGTTTACTCGTAAAATCGGGCCAAACTTAGAAAAAATATGAATAGCTGCTGAAAACAATAGATCAGACTATAGATGGCAATTAGGTCGCTCAGCCAGGTATGACGACGGACCGTCGACTCACCTGGCATGAAATGCATGTGCTGCCTACAGGCACAAGGGGTCATCTCAAAGATATTTTATGCTTTTTCATGTGTGTTGACTATGCCTCATCTATTGATTAACATCTTACGTGTCTTTCTTTCATAAAGTTTATGTTGAGATATGTAAAAGAGTATGATACCTGATAACCATAGAAACGCATCGTATTAAATGTCTCAAAATATATAGGTGGCATGACCACCTGATCGCGAAGATCGACAGGACTGGATATTATTTGTAAATTGTTATGACATGCCGTGTACTTCCCCAGTGTAATTGCCCTAAAGGATTATCTTATCTTAGCTGGTATCTCTATCCCCCAGCCCGACCCCAACGATCGTCTGCGACACCCATCCAGGTTTTGCTTTTGAGACGAACCCTCCTATCTGTTTCTTTTCCTAGTGACAGTGAGACTCCATGGTAGCTACATCCTTAATAGTTTCAGCATGAAAGTTATTATTTTTTACGCCAGCTATCGTTTATGATGAAGCTAGGTCTAATTTCAAATTGGGCATTTAAAAAGTGTCCTTTTGTAATATGATATCGTCGCACACTAATTTGCATAAAGTCATGGTCTGTTCCAAATAAATCGTTTTGGACTTAGAAAAAAACCTGCATTGCTCATTTCTGCATTAATCTCTCCTCAGTAAAGTCCTTTTTCTACGTTTCCTAACTCCCTGCCACTGAGACTGTAGTTAGGCCGAACTTAGTTTAACAGATATTTCACACTTGCACATATGAACTACATAAATTGTAGAGATAAATGAGAAAATACAGTTTTTTTCTATTTCCGACAGTACTTTAAATCACAGACCTGCTGAGTGGCATCTACACTAATGCTTAGTCTCTGAATATATATAATTTTGATAGTAACAAACAAGCCCATTTAAATTGAAAAGGAGCCCCAGGGAGACCAGAGATTCAGAACCTGAGGAAATCTAGACTTGCTTTATTTAGGGTTGTAGCACTGCAGAGAGGGCTTGGCAGTAGTTCAGGGACTGTGACACAGACTAATCAATACCTTACGTTTGTGTTTCTTTCTCAGTAGGGAATAAGTAAAATATAATGAATTCATCTGAAAATATCTGTCCCTCATTTCCTTTAATGTTTTTATGACCATTGTGTTTATCATTCATGCATTTAATCTGCAAGATTGTCTTAGTCTGAAATAGTCCAGACTGTTATATGCCAGTGTTGTCATAAAAACCTAGGCAACCAACTTTTGACTCCCAAGTAAAATAGGTCCCCTGTGTAAAATATGGGTCAAAATTACATCTCAGACTTTTTGACTTTGCTGAAAGCATGGACTATTGCTCATGCTTACAGTTACATCTATCAGACTCAATTATATGCAGGCAGGCAGCCATCACGTACCAGGAATATTTCTCATTTAACATATATTGACTGTATGTTTTGCCCCAGGAGGAGATAAGGGCACGGTTGTCGGCGGAGACGAAGCTGCAGGAAGCTGAACGGTCACTGAAGATCCTGGAGCATGCCGTGGCAGAGAAGACCAACAACATCGATGATGAAGTGAAGGAGGAGATGACCTTCAATGTCCAGAAGCTTAGACGTCAGTTTGTTATTTGGACATTCCTTTTATGTTGGCTGGGTCATGTTGATTATTAGAGGACAATTGTCTGCTCCTGATACATATGCTTTTAGCTTTGGAAGAATATCATTTCTGACAGGTGAAGGAAAATATTGGGATAAGAAATATAAGTGCGATTTTTTATATAAGTGTTATTATACTCATTGTGTGGTTTCAGAGTTCTTTGAGGACCTGGCAGCAGAAGCTAAGTTGTCAGCTGATCAGCCAATCATTATGAAGAATGCAGTTTGTGCCAGAAAAACAATGGCAAGACGAGCCAAAACTATGAAGTTTACAAATCGGAAAAGATCTAGCAGTAAGTATGTTTGTATTATGAGGTGAACAAAACTGCTTCCTACATGCTAACTTCAAATCCAGTTTATATCATATTCAAAGTGCAGGTAATAATTTTCATAAATTACTTTGTATCTTTATAAAAATACTGTGGTTAAATTAAGGGGAGTAACTGTTTTCTCTTTGCCATCAGAAAATTGGTGATAGTTTATTATCTGACTAGTTCCTACCATTTAACATTCTGATGATTTTTTTGTATCATTTCAATATGTATATATATATAAATTTTTCATCTAATCATTCTGCTTCATGTTAACATCATTAAAGAAGCATATGCTTTCTGTTTTATATATCCTCTCACAACACCTTCCTTTTGGCTTCTGGTTTATTTCTGATTTTAGTTCTGCTAGGCCCCTTTGGAATAGATTGAACAGATCCCCATTTCCAATGCTTCTCTTGAAAGATGACAGAAATGGGGATTGTTATGGCCTATCATGGCTAATACGTTTTACATTAGGCAGTTAAACAACTTGACCATCCTGAAGTGCCGTAACACTGGTTGTGGCTTCACACTGTCAACCACTGGTCTGTCTACTCCAGACTTGAACCAGAGATTTAACAAGATTTCTTTAGGGGCTGATATTGGAACCTGAAACCCAAAGCACTTCTGAGTGAAATTGTGAACGAAAATTCCTGCTTTATGTAGATATAGTTATACCGAATGTAAGTGCTTGATTAAAGCGATGTGTATTCCGCTGATAACAAGATATAAACTATTACAAATTCCAGTTTCAACCAAAAGTAAGCCTTTCCCAATTTACCTGCTAAGAGCGCTTAGTTTGGAATCCTAGATAAATCCCTATAACTACATTTTTGTATATATGAAATGTTGCCATCACATAGCTATGATTCTTGCTGACACGGCATAATTCCCCTTTCCTTACCTCTTCAAGTAATTCTCTCAGAGGGTGGTGGATCAAAGTTTCATTGCTGTTGCTAACAGAGGTTCTTTATGTATCTGACTTTAACATCTATAAGCCTTACCCTCATCTCTCACAATCAGGCTCGTTATCAACATCCCTAGCTGGGTCCTTGAACGTGGCAGCATCCGACACGATGCTGTATAGCACTCTTACCATCTAGGTAACACACCTGCCTCTGTTGTGTCTGCTGCTACTACTAGTCATACTACTACTTTTGCTCTAACACCAAGCATCAGCTGACACATGAACTAACACATCTGCTCAGGCTCCCTGCTCATGGTGTGGGATTGATAAGCTGATCTTTACGAGTTTGTGTACCTGTAATAATATACAGGTGTAATGGCAGGTGTAAGTCAAGTCACGTCAACCTCTCTCATATGTTGGGTTTTTAGATATTTGCGGATTGTCTATGTATATTATTCATTTATTAGAATATTCCAATCATTCTCACAGCAGGCTTGATATAGTTTGGACAATTTTGAGAAAAAGGTTTAAAAATGTTAGAACAAGACTTGTTTGAAACCAATACTGAAATCTTGTCTATAAAAATAGATCTTAATTTTGTACTGATGTGCTCCTTCGATTGTATACATACTGACGTATCAAATGATAATATCCCAATAATAATAATAGAAATAGAGCTTTAATTCTATGTTGTTATCAGTCTTATGTTATAATGTCATCAAACACTGATCCAAATCTTGGTCAGAATGGTATCAATTTTGCAACAAATCTTATTTTTCAACCAGCTTTTCTGATTGTGGTAAAGGTACGCTGCGACATTTTGCATGATTTCTGTGTGTATATATACATGTGTGTATGTATGCGCTGCTGAAGCTGGTGTTACCAAGCCTGCTGTGTTGTTACTGTCAGTGGACTTAGGGCTGCTTCAGTAGCAGTGTACATGTCTGGAGATTCTGGAGTTACACATTGCCTTGTTTCCTTGTTAGGCATCTCAGTGTTAGCCACTAGAGCGTTCACTCATTCTGTAAAGACTGGCTGGCCAAAAGCTGGAATGCTTTAGTTAGTTTGGGATCACAGGCTCTGTTTTGTCACTTAATGTCTTTGATGAAAATATTTTCAATTTCTTAGAGATGTAAAGACGTACAACTAAGCACTAAAATACATGACACCAGTGTACCCCTTTTGTTTTAAAATCATTGCCGGGTATTAAATGTCTTCCTGTGTTTTTACTTTGTCTACTGGTATTTGCGCATTTCTGGTGTCCCCTGCCGTGATATTGCTGGAATATTGCTAAAAGCGGCATAAAACTAAACTCACTCATTCTACTGGTATTTTTTTCTCATTAGAAAGTGGTGTTCTTAAGGAATGATATAAGGTCTAATTTGAAAAAATTAAAATGCAAAATTATTTGTGAATATCAAATTCTTTCAATGATGATATACGGTTCTGTTTGATTTTACTTTCAGTTTTGTGTAACAAGTTATTGGTTGTCAGTCTGGCTTGTTTAGTCTACTGAAAATCCAATGAATTACGAACAGGCAATGGACTCTAGAATCTAAATTATGACTTTTATTAATATATTTTTATTGACTGACTTCAACATGTGTATATAGTTTATTCTTTTGAGGTGTTATAATCATTCCTTTGTAGATGCTTTACTTTGACTCATAATTATCATATATGCTACTCAAAATAAGTTCAGGAACACCCAATGTCATATCACTAAGAAAATTGGGTGTTCCTAAACTTTTTGAGTAGTATAATTCCTTGCTTTGTTTTTTCACTTAAGTTTAGTTCACAGTTATAGGACAAGATTTGACAACAAATAGAATAGAAATGCATTAAGATGTCACACAAAATTATCAGATTACCCACAACACAAAGCATGCTAGTGCACTAATGACACGGAACATGGGAATGGAAAGCTGATATCAGATCAGCCTGATGTCATATAAATTTTAATTATAATTAATTTTAATTATTTAAGCCTCAATAACTAGCAGGACAAATTTTCATACTATATTTTTTTATGTCCAAGATATTTTTATGGATTAAACTTCTTTTAATTTCTCTCACGACGTTTGAGACCATTCCAGATCCTAAATCTATGTCAAAGCATGCCGTTACGGAGTCTCTTCATCAGGTGAACTCTGATGAAGGGACCTGGAAGGGTCTCAACGTCATGGAGAGAAATTAAAAAAAGTTTAATCCATAAAAATATCTTGGACATCAATGTACAACTTCTAAATGCCATTGAAAGACATTATATTTTTTTACATTTCTCGGGCAGGTAATAAATAGGTTGAGTGCCATGTTCTCATATATGTTCACATATGACAAAGAGTTATGTGTGTGTTGTAGACTTGAATTTGAAACTGTAGATTGTGTAACAAGCTATCATCACTGGTCTACTCCCATTTGTGAGAACTCCCAGTTGTGAGACTCCCAGTTGTGAAACAGTGGAGTAGGTAATTCGCAAAGAAAACACACCTTACTCCCCTATCTGATAGAATGGATTAACCCCAGCTAAATATGGATTAGCTATTTAACTGAATCTTGTGGAGGTAACTTAATAAAACTCTAAAAGATAAAATAATTAACCTACTCAGATAAATGGCTTTAAAAAATAAACACTTTGTGTAGGTAACTTTGTCATCATTTTAAAGAGAAATTAATTTACCTACTCAGATTTACGTGTTTGAAAAATCTAGCAATAACTGTTGTCACTATAATTAATCCAAATGTATTTATTAACCTTTGACTGCTCTTTCCGATCACCATTATGGCAGCCCTTCAACAAGTAGAATATATCACCAGTTCACGATAATCTTTTTCAGTATTTCAGTATTTTTCAGTATCTATTGAAAACAATAAATCCTCTTCAACGAACAATGTCTTCTGTGTCAATTAACTCATTAATGAACTATGCCTCCTGCGGGTACTCTTCAGCAACAGGGCTGTTCCCACTTTCATCGTAGGGATGGGGAAGCACCACCTATGTGCACTGAACCATTAATTAATGTGTCTCACAACTGGGAGTTCTCACAAATGGGAGGACACCATCATCACTAGTCACCTCAACTTGTGACAGAAGAGCCAGGTGGATTGTGACAGTTGTACAGAGCATCCATGTTCTGATGTTATAGGAGTCATTGCTTGAAGTTGTGTTTGTCCATAGGGAAACAGTAGACAAACTGACAATAGGGCTGATCCCTGAATTACATACAAAGATATTTGAAGTAACCAGCCTAACTTTACATAGCTTAGGCAGCAGAAATATACACAAGTTAACCAAAATACACACCTGCCACATCACCTTCTGTAGAGAACTGTAGTCTTCTCACAACACCATAATCTTCACCTCATATCCACCTGCTGTTTAGTTAGAACCACTTTCATCTAAAAGACATGCAGGTGTAGTCTTTTAGCCTAGAGTTTTTCTCACTATTGCTCACGAGAGCAGCCGGCGATCATGCCGTGTTGCTACGAAGGTTTGTTCTTTCTAATTTGACTTACGCCAAGTATTATGCTTGTTTGTTGCTGATGGTTGAAGTGTTTTGTGTGTGACAGTCTTTCAGGTGAAATTCTGGTCGAGGAATTCGTAGGTACTTATAAACCAATGTTGTTCCAGTTGGACTTGCATGAACACCGTGTACCACAAGCTAATATATATCTCCATTGATGTCTATTGTCACCCCTTTCAGTGGTCACTTGTGCTAATGCTAAAATATGTTCAAATACACTCATTCTCCCCATTTATGGTTAAAATGTTTCAAAAGGCCAAATGGAGCTAGCACGTTGACTGCCTATCACGAGTATAGTCGTAGTATCAATTCTGGCCGAATTTTCGACTACAAGTGGCAAAATGGTATTTTGAAACAAGTTTCACATGTTTCATAACGTCTCCTGCTGTTCTTTGTTACCGCTAGGAGACGATTGCTTCTTGTGCCTGTTTTGCCAACGTATAAATTTGTTTCAAAATACCATTGATGTAGCGACAAGATAACTCGTAGTGGCAAATTTGGCCAGACATTGATACTACGGTATACACTTGGTGGCAGTCAACGTGTTTAGGGGCCACACCCTTTGAAGATTGCTTTCACTGCAAATAAAATTGTGATAACAGGAAGTAATTAAGTGAGGGAAAATGCTGCTTCTGAGAAGTATTCAAGTATTTTTGTAATACAAGCATTATATTATGTAATAGAATCAACTTGGATAAGTTGACGGAGATAACGGAAGATGGGGAGTTTGTGAATGATAAAGGTTTTGTTCAAGTAAATCAATGGATGAAATTCAGTATGGCGTTCATGCCCCTTTTGGCATATGATAACAGATTTCTGTGAATTATCTCTGACTTCAGATTAGTGTTTCAGTCGGCTGTAGATGATTAGTTTCACCTGGTGACCACTGTGGAGGTTCATTGACATTTGAAAACGTTGTGAGCAGACGTCATTGTTTTGAAGATAGTTTTACTATCCCTCCAGTAATCTGTGACATAAGTCATGGTCTTGGCTTCCAAACATTGATAATGCTCAATTGTTTGTCAAATTTTCTGATACTGTTATTTGATGACACTTTAAAATATGGTTTACTTGATGTTTTCTGTTGAGAAAAAGTAAGTAATGCTTTATTCACAAATCACCAGGAATTATTTGCACCACAGAAAATTTGACAAATGCTTCAGTAATTCATAATAAGAAACATTAAATTTGTTTTTACTTATGCATGTGATATAAGTGGTGGTATGTTCATATTCACAAACCTTTGCATGAAAAAAAATATTTTTAGATGTTGTTGTTTACTTGTCCTAATAAGCATGGTTTATTTATATTTTCTATCAGCATTATTGTTTTATGAAAAACAATTAAAAAAATAATGTTTTCTTCCTGTGTTAACGTCAGAAATCATTCAGCTGTCACATATTCTTAACAGTAATCGTCAAATCATTGAAAATTTTAACAGCAAAATAAATTATATAGACAGACTATATGTGAATGAGACGTGAAGTTTTTGTATGAGGTCTCAAAATGTGTGTATTTTATAGTGGCATACAGTTTCATATGTACGAGATGTGGAGTATATGAAGGCAAGGTTTGTGTATGTGAACATTCGCCGCATAGATAGTTCCCTTCTTATCCCTTGGTGTTATTACCTCCCCAGGTTTCGACTCGCCGAAAGGTAATCGTAGTGAGATGTAGGTGTGTAGTCACCAGCAAATCTGATTGGTCCACTTTCTGCTCTCGCTTCACACAATTCACCAAACTATACAATGCTCTTCCACAAAGTAATCCTTGCTGGTGCTCTTGTAATACTCTATAGACAGGCTTTGTTTAAACTGAAACACTATAGATGAATTGTTGTTTGGGAAACTGGTATTTGATTAGGTTTGTCCCAGTAGGAATTCTGGGTTCTAGTGAGTTGCAGTCCATCATCGGATAAATTTTATTATTTCCTTTATAGTTAAATGATTAAATTATCTGGGAGGACAATGTGGGCTATGCTGAAAATGTTTACTGCCTGTAGAACCTAGAATTATTTTCATAATTGGCTCTAAAGTTTATAAAGTAATGAAAGTAGTCAAGTTGATGCCCTTCAGTATAAAGTACAAATGTTGAATAAATATTCACATTAAACAAAGTGGCTCTCAGATGAATCTCAGATGAGTCAACTCAAAAGGTACTACAATCTGTGCTTAACTGAGATAGACTAATACCAAATGTGACAGATATTACATGTGACCACTTTCTTAAAAGCATTGGGGGCAGTGGGGTAGCCTAATGGTTAAAGCGATTGGCTCGTCATGCCGTAGACCCGTGTTCGATTCCCCACATGGGCACAATGTGTAAAGCCCATTTCTGGTGTCCCCCGCCGTGATATTGCTGGAATATTGCTAAAAGCGGTGTAAAACCATACTCACTCACTCACTCACTTAAAAGCATTGTGTGTTCGTCTTGTTGCATTAGATGGCCTAGATCTGTAAAACATGCACTGATTTAACATCCTTTAGTGCCATTGTGGTAGATAGTGTATAATTCTCTGAAAACAGGACTTGCTTAGTGGAAGAGCATGTTGCTAGTTTAGTATAGACACAATCTTTGTTCTGAATTAATTTTCATTGTTACTATCAATGACAATGTCTTCATTGAGATAATTTCCAGTTTAAGCAATTCACTTGCATTAGCTCTTAGTCACTGAGCGCACAGATTGGATTTAGTGTTAATTATTCGATAAGTGTACAGAATATTTGGAATGTAAAGTTGGCCCCTCACCTCTGGAATGTACAGTTATGGACAAGTGACTGTTAGCTTTCAGATTTGCTGTTTGACTGCAGGGAATATGGTGTTTTTCCTGAATGCTCCCTACCCTGTTTAGTATCTCTGAGTACACTGCTAGCCACATCTATATGTATTTAACACTGTCATGCAATATATTGGTTGTGAAAGCCAGTTTTGATTTTGTTTGCTCCAGGACAATTTATTTAAAGAAGTTTATATTAAAGAAAGAAGCATGCACTTATAATCTGCTGTTCATTTTGTTGGATTATTAATATCTTGAAAGAATATATTTGATTTGTTTGATTATTCTCAGTATCGTGTAAGCACTTGGCCTTTTGTTTGAGTTCTGATGTGTGCTGTTATGTTAAACGGTTGTCTTGTTTTGGTGTATATAATGCATGCTACGTTCATTACTGAGACGAAGACTAACCACGATGTTCTTGTTCCGTAGTTTGCAGTAGACTCTAACCGTAGAATCAGATGTGATAGATGTAACATTTGTTTGTTCTCCCAGTCCCGCCACATGCTTGTCATGAGAGGCAGCATCGATGGGATAAAGTAGTCACAGTGACTACTGGGTGTTTGGAGATTGTGGGGCAAAATATTCCCCTGTTCAGTACACTTATGGCAGAGTGTACCCCAGTACCCAATGTATGCTTGTGGTGATAGCATACGTCCTGGGATTGGTAGGTTACAGTCTGGGGGGATTCCAAAACACAACAATCCCATGTACTCAATGGTTGTGGCAAAGTGTTCCCCAGTTCCCAATGTATGCTGGTTGTGACTTCAGATGTCCTGGGATTGGTAGGTTACTGTTTGTGGGGATTCCAAAACATCCCCTGTACTCAGTGGTTGTGGCAAAGTGTTCCCCAGTTCCCAATGTGTGCTAGTTGTGACTTCAGATGTCCTGGGATTGGTAGGTTACTGTTTGTGGGGATTCCAAAACATCCCCTGTACTCAGTGGTTGTGGCAAAGTGTTCCCCAGTTCCCAATGTGTGCTAGTTGTGACTTCAGATGTCCTGGGATTGGTAGGTTACTGTTTGTGGGGATTCCAAAACACAACAATCCCCTGTACTCAGTGGTTGTGGCAGTTGAACCCAGACAGATTATGGGGTATGGTTCATTGTGCCCTGATAATAATGGTACATCATTATTTAAATGGCCATTGTTGTACATTGAACATTTTGGGAAGTTGAACCCAGGTGTGGGGCACTGATTGTGTGTTGAAGTGATCACCCACTGGTTTCTCAGGTGGAGAATCAGTTGTTAATAGGTTGTCCTGATGAAATCTTTATATAATAGGTTATAGTGGTGTAAACAGTACAACAAGCCACTGATGTTGTCAGCCTTAATTCTCTGTCAGGTACACGACAGGGTGTGATTTCATATTTTTTTCAATATCGACGTTACTGATTAATGAGTACACAAATGCAGGATTTAACATAGTCTTTTTCAATACCACTAACGGGCGATTGGGGTAGCCCTTTTAAAGCGTTACTGACGCGCCGAAGACCGGGTTCGAATACATGGGCAAATGTTCGTGATGTCTTGAATATTGCTAAAAGCGGCGTAAAACCAAAACTCAGTCAGTCAGTCTAGCCACTAACTTCCCAATTAAAATACATGATGACAGCCCTAAGATGTTGCAACCTGTTACTGAAGGTAACGTGCACCAGCCATTTTGAACATGCCTCGGTGTAGGTTGTAAATAGTGAAATCGCACCCTGCATGATCATGTTATAACATTATCTGAAAGTACAGCCAGGCATTTTCATTGTGGTCCACAAACAAATAACCTGACATCTTCTGTATGGAATAAAGAAGCATGATAATTCACGCAAACTATGTTGATTGTGTGCATTTATGCCAGGCCAATTTGTTATGTGGATAAATCTGCCTCAACCCCACCTCGCTAATGTTTCTTTGGAAACAATGAAATGCATCTGGCCAAGTGTAGACACCTGCATGTGCATGTCTGAAACTATGCATGTCAAATAGTCTTTGCAATATGTTCTACCATGTGTGTGTATGGTTATCAGTAGATATGAATATATACCAGTGAGACCTATTGGTCTGAGGAACCAAAAATCAACATAATTGGCACCAGACTGAGGTATGTTAACTGGAATATCGTATCTCCTCTAAGTGGCACTGCTTAAACCGTATGATATGAGGAAATGAGAGCTGGGACATCAATAAGAACCAGGGCCCTTATTCTCGAAACGTTCATAGCCCTAAGAATTCTTAACTTTGATCGTAGCCAGTGTGTTAAGAACTTCTTAAGCCCATTCTTAACACATTGGCTACGATCAAGCCCAGTTAAGAATTCTTAAGAATTCTTAGGGCTACGAACGTTTCGAGAATAAGGCCCCAGGGCCCTGTTTCACAAAGCTCTTGTAAGCATAAGATCTCGTAACTTTTCTCGTAGTATTCATACTACCTATGCTACAGTATAGGAAGTACGAATGCTACGAGAAAAGTAGCATAGGAAGTACAAATGGTACAAGAAAAGTTACGAGATCTTAGGCTTACGAAAGCTTTGTGAAAAGGGGCCTTGGTTATATCCATCTAAATGGATTCACCCTTTAACAATTGAATACCTTCCACAATTTGGTGTGCATCAATCAAGTCACTTGATAACAGCTGGCTTATATTCTGCGATACCCTTCCCTTGATTGAAACTGACTACAGAGCAGTCATCAGTCTTACTCTAAAGGGTAAATCACACACAAATGTTGGCTAGTGACAGATGATATGGCCAGGATCTATATTTTTATGATTTCAAAATCATCAACAGACATAAAATATGGTGGTTTTCCCAGGACTTCAGTGTGAAGGACTCCTTCATCAGGACAATCCTTAAATACCCACCAGTAGTGCTGCAATGGCTGCAGTACCAGGATGTTCACCAGATCTGCCCCAGTGACAACCACTAGTTTTCAAATTGATAAGAAACTCAGGTTCAGAGGTTATAAGGCGAGATAAAAAAGAAAAGAAAACAGCAGAATACAGGCTTCCACCATAATTTTAAAAAATGTTTGAATCTGGAAAATGTATACTGTAACTCGTGAAATGTGTTTTCTGTGACATTTGACTGAATAAAAAAAAAAAAAAGACATCCATAAATTCCTTTAGGTCAAAAAAAAAAAAAAAAAAAAATGGTTTCGAGATTGAATGAGCAACACCAAGAATTGGTTGCTTATGTACAAGCCAGGATTTCTCCTTCCACAAAACAGAATTCACTGACCTGGAGATGGGACTAGTGTATTGAACTGCCAAGGGATTAAGATGGGACTAGTGTATTGAACTGCCAAGGGATTAAGAAAAGAACACTTCAAGACAGTATCTCAGTTCTGTGTATGATAGGCACATCATGTCTCAGGATTTATTCCAGATCAACACGGTCCACAAGCAAACACTTCCAACAACCTTGTCACAATCTTTTATCTTTACACTCACTCATACCGATTCTTGTCCCATGTACTAAAACTAGGATATTATGGCCACTTGATCTTACAATTGTGATGCTCTTAGAATTGGTGCCAATTATGTTGGAAGATATGTTACTGTATTTAAATTCAGAATAATCCATTTATAGTCCTAAATATGAAGACATCACATTTTGTCCCATTTGTCATGTTCTGATTCAGTATAGTTGGATTTTGTTAATTAGAATTATGTGACTCAGCTTTTCTGCTGTTACAGATAGTAATCATGACATTATCTCTTTCCTTTTGCAGGGGAATCGCCCATTAACGATGTGCCTTAAGCCTGATGACAGTGCGAAACCCAGCAGTGCGAAACCCAGTGGTATCAGAAGGTCACAAACTTCCGTTGACAGGTCCACTAGGGACCGCTTATTCAGCGACAAAGAACCAATAACCTCGGACTCTGTTTTATACGAAGAACACATGTAATGTTCACTAACGACTAGATGTCTACAGCATTAAACCCTGTCCAGTGATGAGGAAGTATGTCTTGAACATGTCCAAAGATAGACCTGTCTCTCTCTCGTCTTGTGGATTGTATTGAGGCTGTATGCTATTGGTGCTGAAATAGGATTAGGTTGAGCTGTACGGTATGTTGTGTAAGTAGGTAATCGTAGTGAATGATCATGCTGTATTCACTTTCAGAATTCACTTTTCAAGATGGTAAGATCATTCGGTTTTCATGTAAGTACCGTTAACCTGAAACTTATTAATTTCCTGAAACTATATTTGAATATGTATGACTTTTATGTGAATGGATGATAGAAGGTCAAAAAAAATTATAGGGATGTTTCCTGTCATGTTTATAGATTTGAAATTATAGAAGGTAAGTGAAATCTGGGGGTTGTACTAGTATGGTATGTTAAGGGAAAAGATATTTAATTGAGGGGTCTCTTAGCCTTGTGCTGGCTGGTCTGACATCACCCTGATGGTAGATCGAGACTCAAACAATTTCTTGAGTGTCCCATTACATAAAGTAATTGTTGCACTCAGGTGATCCAAACTTCCATTCTTTAACATAGACGTACGACTGTCGTAGTGCTACATATGCTCTATTGGACAGGGAACAGGTGAGGAAGATTGGCAGTTGTGGCTGGAACAGCTGAGCCCAGTACAGAGTCTCTCTTCTATGTTCTAACTGCCCAAGTCATGTTCACACCTTGACAATTGGAGGCCTGCACAGGTTATCTTACGAGCCAGATGGATCAGTTACTGTGACATTTCTAATGATTCCCAGCTCCTGTTCAGTTGATCATTTTGTGAAGCCAAGAGTGATGCCTGTCGTAAGACCTCTTTTATAGAGCAAACGAACAACTTATTCGGTCATGTCGTGTTGAGGTTCTTGACTTGACCTCATCTGCTTCCATTATGAATATGATGTATTTTTTATCACTAGCAAACATGATTTTATTTGTTGATGGTAGACGTTTTTGAAAGATAGGTTGTTAGATAATCACTTATGTCTTTAAATGTCTACATGTTTAAGCTAGGGTACCAAGAGGGTCCTGATTGGGTATACTCTTGAGTGTAAAACAACTGAAATAAACATCGTAAGATGTGTCAAATGTTATCATATTAAAGTAACAGAATATGTCTATAAAGATTGCTTAGTGTCAATTTAAAGTAAAAAAATCATACATTTTAAGGGACTTTTCAAATTTATTGCATATTGTTTCAAACACCTATTCAAGACATGTTCACATAGGTAGCAAAAACATGAATATCTACTGATTTAACACCCTCTACCCCAACCCAGTCAGGACCCTCTGCCATTGTAACAGGTACATTATTGTGTTCAGGGCAACATTTCACAAAGTGATTGTAGTGCTAAGGTGATTGTATCTCCCATGCTTTAACATTGACTTACAAGAGTCATAGCGCTACGATCGCGAGGTGAAACGGGCCCCTGAATAGGAAGCAGTTTCCTCAAGTGATGTTGCTAATGACTTGCCGTGGTCGTCTTCAGAAATATACATATCAGATACTCAGTGTCCAAACACAGGGCCATGTGACATAGGGCATTGAATAAACATGCATACACCTACTTCCCTCAGCTGCCCCTGTGGCTCCTGTCTGTGCAACATACATTGCTCACTAGATGCGTGTTGTCTGTACATTGTGCAATGTGGAATCATAAGTGTGTGCAAGTTATGTTTCAGTCATACGTGTCCATGTCACCCATTATGCCTGTCACCTGTACAAGTAAATTAATTATGTCCTGAGAGATAGTGTCGATGTGTATACGGAATGGCACATCATGAGTGGTGTGTCTTGTTTATACATGATTTGTAAAGCATGAATTGTTCTGTGCGCTTCAGATATTAGTCTTCTGATATCAAGCAAATACTTAAAGGATATAGTATTTATGAAGTACATCCCCGTGGCTGGAGTATTAGAGCAGTCAACTTCCCGCTCACTGACTCCCGTTCCATCAGTCCAGTTTTGTAATGTGAAACAGTTGTGAGGATAACATGATCAGGGAAGTATCATCAATACTGAAGTGGAAACACAGGGGACATAACCCATGAGAGAGATGGCTCACTAATCCACAACAGTGCTTTTCCTTATGATTTATTTAGTGGGTAAAGCATTTGCTTGTGGCCCCCAAACCGTGGGTTTAGTCCTGAGATTGGTACAAAAGCCATTTCTGGTGTCCCTTGTAATAAATGTAAATGTTAAAAAGGGGAATAAAACCAAATGCACTCATTCCCTTACTGCAGGCAAATGATGTGGTAAAACACTTCCTGTCAGATCATCCCTACAGTTGGTGAGGTTCATCAACTTTTATATCCAAATAAAACTCTTCTAATTCCCCAGGACAAGAAAGGATAGTTCGAAATACTGCTACACAATCAGAAGATGCCTTGGATGAACCTGAAACTTGATCCAAAAAACAGTTGATGATTGTAGTATTCTTCGTGTTTTTCAGTTATGGTCCAGTTTAAAGCCTTCATATAGCTGCTGTGATGTTGATGAATGTATATTTGTTTCCCCTGTACCATCTTCTGTATAAACTGTCTTGCTGGAGATCAGATGATCTTTTTCTGTCGTGTTAAGTAAGGGCAACATTTAGATTCAATGTTTCTTAATGGTTTTCTGTCTAGACCAGTTGATGTTCTCTATGTTCACGTAAAATTTTGTTTGGCAGTTGAGTCAGTTTTGTTTTCCAATGTCACTCTCTAACACAGGCATGGAGGAAAAGAATTTTGCTTGCCTGTGTAAGAACTTGACGTGGTACACTTTGAACTGCCAAGTTACACAAATCTGACAAAGCCCCACCTATCATTCAAGTGACTTTTGTTCTGTTAAACATTGTCAGTGTGAAGTGATTTAAATGTTGATGTCCCAGACAGTTGCTGTAAATAGTCATGATCGTCCATGACGACATCTATGTAGATATGTAAGTAGAACCCGGCCTAGTCCCGATCACGTGGTGGAGAGAGGAAGATGGGAAGGCTTCAGTGTTTCATTCCTTCTGCCACATATAGATCATAAACTCAGAATGTAATTAAATTGATTTGATTATATTTATATCTAGATGTAAAATATGAAGTCTGTTGGAGGTTTTTGCCTGTATATTTAGACCAGATTTTTCAGCATTGAATTGAGTTATGTCAAGGTAATTGGTTGTGAAATAAGTTCAGAGAGGTGTCGTGAGGAAGGTGTGCAATGTTTGGGTTCAGTTTTGTAGAACAGATATGTTCTGTGTGACTTTAAACTGCTGTTGCCAGTCCTGTTAGTAATAATAGTCCTAATCACAAGATGATTTAAATGATATTTCACAAATTGGTACAAGAATTCTGTTTGAAGGTTTGTTTGTCAGTGTCAGGACACATCATTAGTTCAAACTAAGAGTGATAAATATCTTCTCCTTTCTGTGAGCCTTCATTCTGAAGTGACTGGAAAAAAGTATTGAGGTTAGACGTTTTGTGAAATCTGTGAATTATGTCTCAGATGCTGTCCTAAGGATATTTCCTGTTGTAAAGTTTGTGTATGTTATATACTCAGCCAGAAGTATCAGGTCCCACAATGGAAAAAGATTGTCAAAATTGGAAGGCTTAGAAAAGTTCTTGGCACTATTTTGTTTTACCTAACTACTTTCTCACTGCCTCATCATTTATTTATTAAGTGAAAGAGAGCTGAAATTTTGATTATTTTTGGTGTGCATATTTACAACAGTTCACTTGTGGGTAGATGGGATTAAGAAGGTATATTTTATCATTTTGATCAGACTGTTGCCTGATGATGTCACCATGTGAACATTTTTAGTTTATGCACTGTTATTTTGTGGTGAACATTTAATTTTTGTTTGGTGGAATAATGGAAAGTGTATATTTGTCCATATTCCAGGCTTTGTAAAGTCTGCAACTTGGTTATTTATTTAATTAATCTAAGTCGATAGACTCCAGTGTCATCACTCCTTCTCTTGGTTATTCTGATCATGTTTACATCATGTTCTTCCAGAGTTTCCTTCCTCCCAGACCTAACAAAATGTTATAAATATAATATCTGTATATTAATATATTTTAGAGCAGATTTTAGGTAATTTGTTCATATCTAGCATCATTCCTTTTTTCCAACAATGTTTTCAGCATATTTACTTTTCATAAATACTTTCAGCATTATTTTGTTTGTTCACCAATCTTCTATTACCATATTCAAATAATTATATCTGCAGATTTGTATAACCCTTGTTTATGTTTGTACCATAGCTCTGAGGGAACTTTTTTCTAAGAAAATATTTGCCATTTCGTTATGTTTAACTTGTCATCAGTAATTGTATTTGGAATCATTAGGAAGTATTGCACTTCAGATCTTCAGTTCCAGTTTCCATATAGTATTATTGTTTATCCTTTACATTTATTTCGTTTCTACTTCAAGAATAAATTTTGGAAATTTACTACATACTACCCTAGGAACATTTTAATTTTGTTTTCTTCACAACATATTGACCCATTTTGAACAGACATATGTTTTCTGTGTGTAAAAAGGTTTATGTAAATACATGTATGTAGTTCATATTTTTTAGATGGAGATAGAGACATGTGGATCCATTTTGTCTTTTGTGGTTTTGCTGATGTGAGTACATGTGAACTCACTGACTCATTTAATTTCAAAGGGCGATTCGGGTAGCACAGTGGTTGCGGAGGTTGCAGATCATGCCAAGAGCATGAGTTTGTATCCCATATAAGCTTACATTGTGTCAAATACATTCAGTATGTCTCCGAGAAAAAACATATGAAAAAATTAGCATAAGAACTTAATGGATTAGATAAATTCAAATTTAATTCAAATTCATATGATACAAGACAAGTGGGAAGATGACTGATCATCTGGAGACTTGTTAATGGAACAGATGTAATTATAGGATGACTATCATAAGGTCTCTTCAGGCTCTTGTTGATTGCCCCCAAATTTAAATACATCTGTTTGTAAGAGTAATGTTTACCTTTGGTAATTGAGGATGTTTCTGGGCCATTGAGGGTTTATTAGTTCACCAACCACCTGCATCATCAGTTGCTAACATAAAGGTGTCCATTCTTTCTAAATCTATTAACAAAGATCAATATAAAAGGAAAGTTAAAGTTTCTAACCTTGCAATGCCACCAGCTGAATTTATAGAACATAGATGAAACTAATAATTGATGTATTCTGTTGACAAGATTTTTTCAAACAGTCTATGCACACCTATAGTATAATCTGTTATTCATTAGCACTAACGATCAAGACATGTGATACTTGTATGATATTTTTACACATACACATTGTCTTTCAAGCTGTTGTCATATCATTAAGTTTAGACCACCAGGGTCAAGAAAGAGAACTCTAATTTTCTGACCTGTGATTATCTCCCTTGAATACTTCACAGCCACTTGAAGATGATCCCAGCTTAGAGTTTCTCTGATTGTACAAATGTCCTAAATGTGCTGTAGTTGGTTTCAATTTGTGATTTTCTCAAAATGGTGCCACATTTGTTCTGAGTTAATTGTTGTTCATTGTCCATCCCACCTATTGGTAATACTCTCTCTATGTTATCAAATATTTCTGTTAAAACTGAGCATGTAAATATTTGTGTGGTTGAAAATAGTACTTCACTGACCATCACAAGCATCAGTTCTAGAAACAGAAAAGACAAACCATATGAAAATAGTATATTATGAAAGTATTTTATTTACTACACCATCAAACAGTCAATTCTTATTCACTAGTAATACATGTGTTTGATGTTTGGGTATTTTCCACAGAATGTACTACTGATTTTTTTAACCACTGACCAAATACTATTCATTAAGGCATCAGTCTAAAATCTCTTCCCCCAAGCTGAAGCAAGATATCTTTCACTTGAGAGTGGTGAGGTAGCCTTGTGGTTAAAGCATTTCCTGGTCATGCTGAATGCAGGGGTTTGATTCCCCAGGGTGATATTGCAGGGATAATGATATAAACGTCATAACACCATACTCATTCTTTGCCTCGAGGTAATTAATTGTATGTACTACACATATTCAGGTTTCAAATTATGTGGGAAATAAATTATTCCGGGTTTTCTTTTCATGAATAATTAAACTTCTGTGAAGTATGCCAATATCTAATTCTTCCAATATGGTCAGTTTGTATGTCTAAAAAAGCTGACTTCTTTGTCAGGGAAGTTTATTAATGTTGTTTTGAAGCAATTGTAGTTAGAAGCCACTCTTTTGGGAACATGGTAAAAGATCAGACAAAGTAATTTGTTAAAGAAGGGAATCCCCACATGGGTACAACGTGTGAAGCCTATTTCTGGTGTCCCCCGCAGTGATGTTGCTGGAATATTGCTAAAAGCGGCGTAAAGCCAAACTCAGTCAGTGTTAAAGAAGGCTAGAGACTCGTGACTGCAACTGGAACCTCTGAGCAGCCAAATTTGAGATTATTCACTTTGCCAATACACTGGTATGTTTTTATTCCAGACCATTGTTAATTGGATGACACATTGTGCAGGTATTGCATATTCCTTGACCACATTATTGTTAAATTGTTCTAGATCAAGCAAAAACATTAAACTGGTGTTGTTTTTGTCATTGTGTGTCTTTTGTCTGTTTTTCTGTTGTTAGCTGTAGTCAGGTGGGACATGTATACACTGAACATCTTACTTTTAGGCATATTTCTATAGTTTACATCGTCATGACCAGGTAAACTGACAGTCTACCAAACCACAAGGACGACCCTCATATAGCTGGAATATTGCTGAGTGCGGGGTACAACTAAACTCGCTCACAATGACGAAAACTCCTGCTTGGGTATGGCATTAGAGTCTACTCTGGGGCATCCTAGTTTCTAAGTCACCACAATACTGTGTACAGAGTTGTCCCTTTACACGTTAGACACCTACACCATAAATCTGGACTGGGGTTTGAATCCAGTTTATTTGTCAGCACCACCAAAGTGTTTAAGGTTTGATTCCTTCATCCGTTCGTAGGGGCGGTGGGGTAGCGTAGTGGTTAAAGCGTTCGTTCATCACGCCGAAGACCCGGGTTCGATTCCCCACATGGGTACAATGTGTGAAGCCCATTTCTCGTGTCCCCTGCCGTGATATAGCTGGAATATTGCTAATAGCTGCATAAAACTAAACTCACTCACTCATCCGTTCGTAAAGTTGGACAAACAGGACAAGTATTACCAAGAGTCAAATGCTATAACATATTAGCATATCAAATGCTTTAACATATTAGCATATCAAATCTTATAACATAATTAGCATATCAAATGCTTTAACACATTAGCATATCAAATCCTATAACACATTAGCATATCAAATCCTATAACAATTAGCATATCAAATCCTATAACAATTAGCATATCAAATCCTATAACATATTAGCATATCAAATCCTATAACATATTAGCATATCAAATCCTATAACATATTAGCATATCAAATCCTATAACATATTAGCATATCAAATCCTATAACATACTAGCATATCAAATCCTATAACATACTAGCATATCAAATCCTATAACATATTAGCATATCAAATCCTATAACACATTAGCATATCAAATCCTATAACATACTAGCATATCAAATCCTATGACATATTAGGATATCAAATCCTATGACATATTAGGATATCGCTAGATGCTGCCCCGTCATACAATTGTAAGATGCATTTCATCATGAATGCTGATTTGTTAAAGGATTTGATTTTAGGTACTATTTACTTACCCTGTTTACAGTCAACTTGAGGTTCATATATTGGGATACTTACTGTAACATACTGCCTGTATGAGTTTGTACACACCTAAAACGGATTACAGGTATTACCGCATAAGCATTATGTGACACCCAGTCGTGATGTTTCTGAAAGCAGCATACAACCTTATTCACTCACTCACTCACTCATTATAGGAAGGGCGAATAAGGTGCCAGGTACAAAGTCATTGTTTGAATCACCTACAACGAAATCACGACTGCACTATAAACACGATTGAACTGAAGAAGACATTGTATAAGCAAGTTAACTGCAAGGGGATTATGTTGAGCAAATTTAAACCTACCGCAACATTTCAGTCACATATATATATGCTAGGCTCAAAACTTTATGATACCCTCTTGTATATATACATTCATATACATATGTATCTGAATTTCAAGGCTAAACATGCTGAGAAACGGGCGACACAGTGGTCGAAAACGAGTTGCCTCCTTTAGCAGTGCCATGATCCGGCTCGACTGTTCGTAGGTTCGATTCACAGATCCGCTAATATGATGAAAGGTTTATTACCACCATTTCCCATTCATGTTACTAACATCATCGAAGCCGAAAACCTTTGAGACCCCACTCCATGGTACAACTGAAATATCAGAGCTGAGTCAAGCCAGTGGTTAAAGCGTTCGCTCGTCGCCCACTACAAGGCCAGGGTTCGATTCCCTACATGAGTGCAATGTCTGAAGCCCATTTCTGGTGTCTAAAAAGTGACATAAAAAACCCGACACACTCACTCACTACAGTGGTGAGAGAGCAAATTCTTTTTAGGCGTAAGTCACACACATATTTAAATTAAATTCAGGAACTGTTAATCTTAGTGTTAATCAAAGTTTGATTATTAATTGCACATAATTTATGTTGTAGCAGAAGACTGCATTTGACAACTGACGCCACTTACTTCGCGTATTCGAGTTTTTCATTAAACTATAATAAAGTAAAAATAATGAAAAAGGGACCGTCTTTGCAAAGAGGTCTGGAACAAACAGAAAATAACGCTCGAACCACTTCCATAGGTAGCCCAGACTCCTGATACAGAGATGATTCCCTCCCTCACAACTACTCATCGATTTTTACCGTTATCTTCCAAGGGTACAACGATGACAGCCATGTACAGATCTATATTTGATTACAATGGATCATCACTGATGCAGGTTTCGTTCATATTTAACACTTTAATCAGTTATTTTGCGGATTATTCTAAATTGTGGCTCAGAAGTCGTCATAGGAAATATCTTTAAATGAAAGAAATCGGAAATTTCAACGAAAGCAAGGAACAATTCCTTCAAACTTATTGATGATTTTGGTAGCACCGACTTTGGATCTAGGCTAGTTCTGTTCTGATACAGTCATACATATTTCACTACTTTCATCAGGCAAGGTAAAGTCACACAGTGCCAATATTGATTGCGCTAGGAGCGATATATACCAGGCGATCAGGGTCGCCAACAGACAGTGGTCGGTCAGGAGAGCCAGTGGTACGAGTTGCCTGAAGGTGAGTGATTTCTGATGAATGTGCATTTATTTTAAGTTAATCGTACTGATAATTTGACAGAAAAAATGTTCGAATGTGAGATGTTAGCACGAGGAGAGGTTAATTATAACGTTATGGTTTGTAAATGACGTTGATTTGAATATGAACAACAAAGCATTACGTGTTTTAAGTTCACGTCGCCCTTCTTTGCTGATACCGTGGGGTCGTTTGTTGACTATGTTGCACTATTATTCAGTAGGATTTTTCGTTCATTTTATCTTTCGATATGACATTTTTAGACGTGTATCTTCACTAATCACTATCAATAGACATGAGAAACACTGTGGTTGTAATGTCTGCAATACACTTACAAACAAAAAACTATAATACTAAAATAAACGTTTTATACCCTGGTCTGTAAGAAATATTACATTTACATCACGGCAGCCTGGCAAAAATGGTGAATGGAAGCATAAGTTAACATCATCACTGGGTAATCATAGGCTTGGTAGGACATTGTTGTCAACCAATCCTCATTACGACTGAATCAGGGTGCCGTTGTAAAAGACCGATCTGAGCCCAATGGTGATCATGAAGCCAGTACCTTAACACTGATCTACGGCAGCGCTAATGTTGTTTTGTATACAGTATACCCAGAGTTCTAGAGACGTATGCTGAACCAGAATTCCCTGGGACGTTTTGACCTCCAAATCTAAATGAGTGAGTGAGTTTAGTTTTACGCCGCACTCAGCAATATTCCAGCTATATGGCGCGATCTGTAAATAATCGAGTGTGGACCAGACAATCCAGTGATCAACAGCATGAGCATCGATCTGAACAATTGGGAAGCGATGACATGTGTCAACCAAGTCGGCGAGCCTGACCACCCGATCCCGTTAGTCGCAAATCTAAATGAAGGCTGGATAGGGACTTCAGTCGATCAGCTGCCAGCTTCCTAAAACGATTCGGCTTCATTTAAAGCATCCACGATTCGGAAATTTCGATTTGTACAAATTTAAGACAACAAAGAACACACATTTTTCTTTCCATGCTACTCCCTTTTTGGTGTTCATCTCAGAGGGCGCTCAGAAACGACCGTCTGTATAAAGGATTTGCAACTATAATGGCGCTTTATACTTGTCGTTTAATTCGTCTTTGAGATGCAGAAATCAAATATGGTTGCTCACTCGAACCTAGCACTAAGAAACCTTAACGCTGATTGTCTGACCATAAAGATCACCCGACGCCAGTGTTCACAGGGCTTCACGCATAGGGTTATCGTATCGGAGTAGATTTATATGAGATTGACCCCTGATTTGTCGGTTCTACGCCCGTCCTTGATTTCACCAGTGCAAGATGTAGGTTAAGTCACTTTCTTCGTACACTGAGCCACGCAGTGATATAATTGAACACGTACTCAAGTACCATTCCGCAATCCATATCGTACTGTCGACATCCATATAGATCACAGAGGAAGATCCGGGTTAGAATTGGTCTTCAGTAACCCATGCTTGTCGTAAGAGGCGACTAACGGGATCGGGTTGTCAGGCTCGGTGATTTGGTTGACACATATCATCGGTTCCCAATTGCGTAGATCGATACTCATGCCGATGATCACTGGATTGTCCGGCCCAGACTATCAATTACAGATAGCCGCCATATAGCTGGAATATTGCGTTAAACAACTATCAATCAAGCACTCTATATAGACGTTATTCAGATTTACATGTTTTGTAGGGCGGCGCAATATAACCGGTTTACCGGTATACCGGTATTTACCGGTTCAGACATGACCGGTATTTTGACTTGCATTCGGAAAACTTCGTAACACTCGGAAATCTTCAGGTATTTCCTTTGTTCATTTGTGCCAAATATTATTCACCTTTTTATTTTATCATGATTAAAAGTTGTTTTTAAAGCTTAATCAAGCATGGTAATTTGGTTGTGTTTTTGCTCTATAAATCAAGCATTACCTCGATTATAAGTATTTTTTTGTTTAAAAATACTTCATGCAATATATTGCAATACATACCGCAATACATGCTTTCGCATCGCAATATATCGCAATATGAAAATTCCCTGCAATACCCACCCCTAATGTTTTGATATGCTAGTATCAAAGGAAAATAATTAAATCTTTGATTAAGTATCTTCTATAGCTAGTTATACATTTTGCAAATGACTGCAAAAGGACAATTATGAAGATGCTATTGACGTGTTACTTCTTAACATAACTTAGTGTCCTGGATGAAGACTTGTCTCGAGATGGTCACAGTGGTTGGTTACCAGCTCCTTGCCGCCATATTGTGTTCTACCCAGACAGAGCCTATGTTCATCAGAAAGACGCCAGAACTGTTCGCCGACTACGACACCACACAGCTCAACTACGGAGTTGCGGTTAGCGACGTCGATGGTGATGGAGAGATGGAGTGGATTGTAGCTGGGTAACTGAAATTGTAGCTGAAATCGCAGTAGTAGTAGTAGTAGTAGTAGTAGTAGTAGTAGTAGTAGTAGTAGTAATAGTAGTAGTAGTTACAAGACCCGTGGAGATGCGGGTTAGAATTGATCTTCAGCCATTCATGCTTGTCGGGTGGACTTAAACTGATAAAAAAATGTACCTTCAGTAACCCATGCTTGTGGTAAGAGGAGACTAACGGAATCGGGTGGTCAGGCTCTCTGGCTTGGTTGACACATGTCATCGCTTCCCAATTGCGCAGATCGATGCTCATGTTGTTGATCACTGGATTGAGCAAGTATATATGGATGCAACTTCTTTTATTCTAGAGCACGACGTTTCGATACAGGTTCTTGTATCGTTTTCAAGTAAAATTTCATACTTGAAAACGATACAAGAACCTGTATCGAAACGTCGTGCTCTAGAATAAAAGAGGTTGTCATTGAAAACGATACAAGAACCTGTATCGAAATGTCATGCTCTAGAATAAAAGAAGTTGTCATTCATATATACTTGTTCTATCTGACTTCCAACTTCTAAAATGCCACTCAAAGAAGTGATCACTGGATTGTCTGGTCCAGACTCGACTATTTTCAGACCGCCGCCATATAGCTGGAATATTGCTGAGTGCGGCGTAAAACTAAACTCACTCACTAGTTGATGCTTATGATCGTATCCCAATTGTATCGATCGATGATCATGACGGTTTGTCTGGTCAAGTCTCAATTATGTACAAACCGACGTCGTACAGATGGAATACTATTGCGGCGTAAAACAAGAAACAAACACATTGATCTCAACCAAAGGACAGAATTTACAACTTTTCTGGCATATGATGCCAGCACTTGCGCCTGTTGGATTTACGCTTTAAATTTGCCGGATTTCATCAAATACGATATTACGATTCAAATATGCATAGATCGCCTTGTGTGACACTGCTGTTTCGATTTTATTGTTATCTGCAAACTGTTCATGTGACCCCTGTGTTTTCTATGTCTTTTGACCGCAAATCAACCCATGATCAGAGGCAGGTGTTTACAAAACACATCTTTGTCAGTGTGCCAATAAACGATAGCCTTAGCGACTGATCTAATCAAATTTTAGGTATTTTGCCTTGATTTTAACGGTATTCCAGTCTTCGTCCTTGTGTAGCATAACATTACAATATGTCTAAACATGTTTTCTTTAGGTTTAATGGCCCAAATATGGTTTTCAAGTATGATCACATGACTCGGAAGTACATCAACCTGGTTGAGACTGACAGCCGATTCACCAATCTGAGTGACAAGGAAGGTGAGTGACAAGGAAGGTGAGTATTTTTTATCAGCCGACCAATCCAAGAATTACCCGATGTTGGTGATGTGTTAGCACTCCAAGAATTTTTGTTTCCATGTTCACTATCACACTGAGACTAATTTTATTTCTTTGAAACATCTCCGATTATCGTTTTCTGAAGGCCAAGCCATCGGTGTAGTTGCTTGTGACTTGGACGGCGACCTCGACGGCAGGGAGGAGATTTACTTCCTCAATACTAACGATCAATACTGGGGCTCCAAGAGTTACAAGGACAAGCTCTTCAAGTTCAGGAATGGACGGTACATACATAATTCTGCATCTTTCAATTGTTTCTTTCTAGGCAATACGTACAGATTGAACAATGCATAACAAGAGTATGATTTTTTTCGAATATAAAATAAGTGTTATTCATGACAGCAAAGTTTGTATCGTTCAATCTCAGTCGTTGATGCGGGCCACGAATCATGACGTCACTGTTTCACCTATCAAGCAAGTATTTTCTGGTGAGTGTAGCGTGTTATTCTCATGCTGGGTGTTATTGTATCATGTTTCAGCTATGAAGACTTGTATAGTGACACTGTAAACTCCGGTATGTCCCACATGTTTGCTGGACGTTCTGTGGCCTGTGTGGACAGGAAGGGGACGGGGAAATATGGCTTTCTTCTGGCAACCTACAGCAGGTGTGAGTAGAGGGCACCATAGCCTATGTGTGCAACATTGAATCCTTTGCTCCACTCCATGATCGAATCTAAGATTCGTCCTGATTATGGTTTTTGGTTTGTAAACACCATGTCTGTGATCGTGGATTTCACCAAGCGGTTAAGATGGATTTCAGCAAAGTGGTAAAGATGGGTTTCACCAAAGTGGTAAAGATGGGTTTCACCAATGTGGAAAAGACGGGTTTCACCATTGTGGTAAAGAAAGATGGGTTTCACCAAAGTGGTAAAGATGGGTTTCACCAAAGTGGTAAAGACGGGTTTCAAAAACATAGTGGTAAAAGATGGGTTTCACCAAAGTGGTAAACGAAAGATGGGTTTCACCAATGTGGTAAAGACGGGTTTCACCAAAGTGGTAAAGATGGATTTCACCAAAGCGGTAAAAGTCTGTTTCATTACGGTGGTAAATGTTTGGTTTCACCGAAGTTATAAAGGTGAAGACTGACTGTAACTTTGGATTCATATGTACATTACGAACAAGGGTCTTGAAATACTGACAAAATACTGTTCCGCTGTATGCTTAAGTCACTCACTTTCCTTATCAGTGGGTGTGGGTGAGTTTGCCCTGATCGAGATGAACGAGTCAAGCCCTGACAACGATGTCTCCTCCGGTCGCGTGGTCATCTGCAACGTGGGCGGTGATGCTGGGATAAACATCAGCACTGGTCAGTACTCATCTCTGAGTTGAAACATATCGTCCAACCAGAAGATCAACGATCAAACTCCACGAAGAAAGATGAAGATAACATTGATTGTTTATCGTTGATTATCTTCGTGTTTCGCCAGTTTATCCTCGTCGCCAGAATATATGGTATCGTGAAGTCAAGTATTGCAAGGGAAGAACAAAGCGTTGTATATGATCTTTAACACCCTTTAATCTTTATGGGTTTCAAATACACAGCTGACTGGTAGCAAAGTGCGTGACGGCCGCACCGCTCCCTGGATCTAATGGTCGTCTCGATCGATACGATGTGGTACGTCATACACATTAACCTATGACGTCATTAACATATTTGTGCTAGCGACACTACACCCTGAATTCCACACCTTACAGTTCAAAAATAAACTGACAAATGGACTTTGTCACTTGATTGACTATTGCAATTTTGCCAACCTCTTTTGGCGCGGTGTAATGGACAATATAGTAATGTATGACATAAGACAATACACATATACTTGTTGACAGGTGGACAGGCCATCGTTGTTGGTCCGATCCTAGGTGATGATGGTTTGTCCGACATCTTCTTTGTTAACGAGGGGAATTCAGAGGTCAACAACCGAGGGGACAACGCACTCTTCAAGAACAGAGGGGATGGGACATACCAGGACGTAGCCGGCATCTCAGGTGATGACCATAGACACGCATTCTCTGGTTTCTGGATTTGAAGGTCCGTACAGTTCTTCTTTCAGACTCGGACTTTGAAGCAGATGTTTGGATCAGTTGAGTTTCTGGATTTGGAGGTCTATACTGCTTTTGTCTAAGAGACGTTATGAACGAACATAGAAGTTGAGGTTTTACTTAAATCTGGATCAGTTGGCCAACCAATCCACACCTCTGTCGGCCATTGTGGGCATTCAGTGCCCGGCTTAGCTGCACATACTTCTTTGTCCTTTATACATGTTTGACCTATGTTAACAGTTCTTGTAATATTCTTGCCATCAGGTATTGCTGATCGTGACGAAAATGGCCGCGGGTAGCACTTGCGGATTTCAACAATGACGGTCTGCTTGATATTGTGTATGGAAACTGGATAGGGCCAAACAGACTTTATCTACAGCGGAAAAACGGCAGTGATGTGCGGTTTGAGGTAGGAGCAGATCATGACATTACAGAAAAAAATCAAAAGTTGAAAAAATGATGTCATCCACGCATTAGCTTACATTATAACCAAACGTAAATGAAAAGTTTGTTTGTTCGACGACCCAAATGGATTACTCAATAACACCGTTTTCACTCTCTCTATTTATTGGTCTCAAAGAACGGAACAATACATTACTGCGATTTAATCGGTTTGACCTATGTGATATGACACTATGCCCTTACTGTCAGCTGTGACGTGATGATACTTGTATCTCAGACACTGTTAAACATGCCTCACTCACGCACTGTCACATTGTCTTGCAACTTAAATGGCGTCCACATTATAAACGAAATCATTTGTGAACAGTAATGATATTTTAAAATTTACGTACCCCGTGCTCCTTTGAATCTGTTCTGTACGGTTGAGAGAGTGAGTGAAACTGGTTTTACGCCGCTTTTAGCAATATTCCAGCAATAACACGGCGGAGAACACCAGATATAGGCTTCACACATTGTGCCCATGTGGGGAATCGAACCCGGGTCTCCAGCGTGGCGAGCGAACGCCTTAACCACTAGGCTACCCCGCCGCCATGCGGCGTGTAACTAAACTCACTCACTGTACGGTTGATGAATAATTCCGAAATTCACGGATGAAGCATCGAAGACACTTCAAACCATTAGCTGTATTCACGTGTTTACAGAACGCCGCAAGCCGGGAGTTCGCGAGGTCATCCCCAGTCAGGACCCTTATAGCGGCCGACTTTGACAACGACGGTATTCTCGAAGTGTTCCTCAACAATATCTACTACCAGTTTGCCTTGACCCCCAACTTGTTGTTCAGGGTCACACCTAACGGGGCTGGTGTGGACATTCAAAATATTGACGTTGGTGATGCCCTTGAGTTGAACGGGAGAGGTACAGGTGGGTGCACTGACTTAATGAATACTATAGCCTCCGCCAGGATTAACTTTTCTCCCGCATTTCGGATGATATAAACAAACCCACTGAATTCTCACAATAATTTTCGAAAGAAGAAATTACCCAGAAGTGGATGTACCACTATGTATATAAACTGATGAGCTAAACAAAGTAAACACCAATATTTGATAGATGGGGGTGTGGTGAAATTGGATTTAACGTCTCGCTGGAGAATATTTCGCTCATATGACGACTTGCATGCGTGTGTATGAGTATGTGCGGCTGCTTGTACTAGCCCAGACTGAAGCTGGTTTTATAGTGCTAGCCCACTGAGATACCATGCCGCAGTGAAGCATGAATACCCCACTCAGACACAGTATACTGACTCCGAGCCGACCAGTCCTTGTTGTTCCCATTAATGCCGAGCGCCAGGCAGGGACTAAGAAGTACCATATTTTAACGTCTTTTGGTATGAGGCGGTCGGGGATCGAACCCGCGACCTTCCGCACTCTGGGCGGACGCTCTAACCATTACACCACGGAGGCGGTCTAATATTTGATAGAGGCTTAACATAATACAACCAAGACGAGTAATTAAATGGTAATGCATTCAGTTCGGTTGACAGCATTGTGTTTAAGGCTTTACGTTTGCAGTGTTTCGCTTACTGTTTATATTCTAGTCACCTTCTGATCATTTCTTTGGTCAAATCGAAGTGTGTCCTTCTCTTTGAGGTGAGGTGAAATTTGGTTTAACGTCGTGCTTGAGAATATTTCGCTCATATGACGACGTGCATGCGTGTGTATGTGTATGTGCGGCTGCTTGTACTAGCCCAGACTTAAGCTGGTTTTATAGTGCTAGCCCAATGAGATACCATGCCAATACCCCACTCAGACACATTATACTGACTCCGAGCCGACCAGTCCTTGTTGTACCCATCAATGCCGAGCGCCAGGCAGGGACCAACATGTACCATATTTTAACGTCTTTTGGTATGACGCGGTCGGGGATCGAACCCGCGACCTTCCGCTCTCTGGACGGACGCTCTATCCACTACACCACGGAGGCGGTCCCTTTCCTTTGACCGGCAATTTACTATCTTTGAAATGGTTCAGATGGCACTGTCGTTTAGGCGCTGGGATAGACTTTACATCCGATTGTGGGTATGAATTCCAGTACCTGTTTTAAGACCTGTGTTACTTTTGGATTCACTTTAATAGTTTTTAACATGTACCTGATTATGTAATCATAATACTGTTCAAAGGTATGTTATACCTAAAATTGTCGATTTAATTTGTAATAATTTGTAATTTAATTTAATTAATACATGCTTCCATACATCCTTTAGAACATGGCGCATTGAAAAGACATCAATCTTTCCGTAGAATTTTAAGTAGAATACAACCTGCCTTCGTGTTACTCCGGTCTTGTCCACAACGCAACTGATGGTTATATGCAACAGCATACTAACCGGAAACGCCTTAACACGTGCTTCTACAGGTGCATCAGTCACTGACCTTGACGGCGACGGTCGTCTCGAGATGCTCGTGTCGCACGGAGAAAGCACGGAACAGCCTCTAGAGCTTTACCACGTGCAGCCCGGGGAAGGAAACATGTGGATCCGGATCATGCCCCTCACTAGAACAGGGGCTCCTGCACGAGGTGCTAAGGTAACTGTCACGCTGACGGATGGCACCCGGTTGAGCAGAGTCATCGATGGGGGATCAGGTTATCTCTGTCAAATGGAACCTGTTGCCCATTTCGGTCTTGGTGTCTCCTATCCAGAAGAGGTCAGCGTACTATGGTCCGATGGCAACGTTGTTACCAAGACGATGGGTTGGACGCTTGTCAATAGGTTCCACAAGATAGGATATTCTGGTTTCCTGGATACAGTTCCGAGACCAGATTCCGGAAGAAAGGAAGAAGACACTGTCAACGAAGGGACAAAAGGTAACCGCTTTGTCATTGTTTGTGTCCATACGCTTTGGTAAACCGGCGGTGGGGTAGCTTAGTGGTTAAAGCGTTCGCCGAAGATCCGAGTCCCCATGGGTACAAAGTGTGAAGCCATTTCTGCTGGCCCCCGCAGTGATAATACGGGAATATTGCCAAAAGCGGCGTAAAACCATACTCACTCACTCACTCCATACTCTTTGGTAAAGGAGCAGAGGGGTAGCCTAGTGGTTAGAGTGTTCGTTGGTCACGCCAAAGATCCGAGTTTCTACATGGGTACAATGTGTCCAGCCCATTTCTGGCGTCCCCCGCCGTGATATTACAGGAATCTTACTACAAACGACCTAAAACAATACTTACTCGCTCTTTGGTAAAGGTTATACTTGATGGAGTTTCCTAGTGTTCTTTGTGAAATCACGATTTACAGTGCATCCAAGGCATGGAAACATCGTTTCTTGTTCTCTAAATCATTCAAGGAAACCATGAATAAATCATAAACTTCAATGAATTCTCTTAGAAAGTCATTATTTAATGAATCAAAATACAGCAGGAAAAGATAAGAAAGTCGGTTTGGAAAATCATTAGAAGCTGCCAGGAACGTTAGAATTGATTTTTATCAATCAATGCTTGTCCTATGTGACTGAGTGGACAAAGGTAGTCAGGCTCAGTGAATACATGGCATCGTACCTTGGCGTCTATTGGTGCTCGTAATATCAATCACTGGATTGTCTGATCCAGACTGAATTATACACAGGCTGGAAAATTACCGAGTGCAACATGAGTTTTTCAATTTTGAAACGCTTTTTAGAGAAAGAAGTATTAAGTATTAAGAAGTATTAAGTATTAAGAAGTATTAAGTCTCTCATAATTATCAATTTTGACATATGTTCATATTCATACAACTCTTTCTTTCATTCAAGCACAGGTCAAATTCAGGTGACTCTTCTTTTTCAGGTTGTGTGGGTATTGTTTCAACCTTGGTATTTCTCGTACTTTCCCACATCCTCCGGTGACGTCCGATGTTTGGTGCAGCTGTACCGAGCATACCCTCTCTCAGCCAGGATACGCTCTGTTGACGTGTCATCTCCATGGGTACTTAGTCATGATGGCATCACTCTCACGCCATCATGTTTGAGATACAATGGGGTTTAGTCATACGGTCCTTTTCTTGTTCCATTCAAGCAGAACCTTGAACAAAGAGTAAGTACATCCGACCTCGGCTGTTTTCAAACTACACTGCTGCTGCTGACAAAAAAACTTGGAGGTGTTTACGTCAGCATTTTATTCGCATTATTGTATTATTTTCCAATGACATAGAAGCTCTCAACACAGACTCATCCTCGGTTATCACGTGATCCGGGTCAGGATTGGTCTTCAGCAACCAATGCTGACTGACTGAGTTTAGTTTTACGCCGCTTTTAGCAATATTCCAGCAATATCACGGCGGGGGACACCAGAAATGGGCTTCACACATTGTACCCATTTGGGGAATCGAACCCGGGTCTTTGGCGTGACGAGCCAACGCTTTAACCACTAGGCTACCCCACCGCCCCAACCAATGCTTGTCGTAAGAGGCGACTAACGGGAGCGGGTATTCAGGCTCACTGACTTGGTTGACACATGTCATCGTATCCCAGTTAAGTAGATTGATGTTCATCACTGGATTGTCTGGTCCAAACTCAATTATTTACAGACCGCCGTGACATAGCTGGGAAATTGCTGAGTGTGGCGTTAAACAACAAACAAACAAAACAAAAACAAAACAAAGACTCATCCTCGGTTATCACGGGTGTTATATTGTACTTATTCCTTCTGGGATGTATCCTGGGCACATTCCCAACATGGCATCCTTCCAGAATAGACGTCGCCACGTTAATATACCACATGTTATTCGTGTGTAAGCTCATTGGACGGCATTTTAAGTTGTACTGTCATTCGAATTAAGCTTATAATTAAATTAATGTGACGAGTGGATCATGGGTATATGGACGGATGGAGATACACTTGGCATTGGAAGATGGCTACATCAGGATCGTGCACTTGTGTACCAGACGGGGATCCCATGTCAAACCGCAGTCACTTTCACTAGCAGTCACTTTTGCTTGCAGTACCTTGCAGATCCAGGTTAGAATTGATCTTCAGCATCCCCTGCTTGTTCCTAAGAGGTGACTTACGGGATTGGGTGGTCAAGCTCGATAGCGTGGTTAACGAGTGTCAGCATATCTCAGTTGCATAGATCGATGCTCATGAAGTCAATCTCTAGATTGCCTGCTCCTGACTCGATTATTTACAGACCGCCGTCATATAGCTGGAATATTGCTGAGTGCGGCGTTAAACAAAGCAGAAACGTATATTGCCTTTCAGATATATTCTATCTTTTGTATAAGATGTTAATTATATCACATTTATGTTGTAAATAAACATAATGTTAATACATATGTTCGTCATTCATATCTCTGTCATGGTGGGGCCTCATACGTCCTCTCATCTAAATATGGGGTGAGCCTATTCGAATCGCAGTGTATTATTTCCTTCTATTTTAACTCGGAGGAGTTCTATGTATATTCTAGCCGGAAGATCCGGGTTAGAATCGGTCTTCAGTAACCACATGCTTGTCGTACCAAGCGACTAATGGGATCGTGTGGTCAGGCTCGCCGACTTGGTTGATACGTGTGATTCTATCCCAATTGCGTAGATCGTTCTCATGCTATTGATCACTGGGTTGTCTAGTCCAGACTCGATTGTTTACAGGGTGATGAAGGGGCGGTGAGGTAGCCTAGTGGTTAAAGCGTTCGCACGTCACGTCAAAGACCCGGGTTCGATTCCCCACATGGCTAGTGACTTGGTTGATGGCGATACGCAGTACCAAGGCTGTACCCTCACTATCTATAGTCAGCAATGATGACATAAGTTTCACATCACATGTGTTGTTTATTGAATTATAAATATATCTCCATGTGTGTTATTAACTACAGAGCTTATAGCCAATGGAACGTCTTCAATGGAGGCTTTCACAGACACGTGACGGACTCAAGACAAACGGTCCAGAATTGTTATCCTTGTGTTATGGGTTTTTGGACGCCTAAGAACATCCTTTGTTTTCTCGATTACCGCATGAACAATTTTTTATAGTGTCTTAAACACAAGCCCTCATCCGCTTCGTTATAGCGACTGACTGACTGACTGAGTTTGGTTTTACGCCGCTTTTAGCAATATTCCAGCAACATCACGGCGGGGGACACCAGAAATGGGCTTCACACATTGTACCCATGTGGGGATTCGAACCCGGGTCTTCGGCGTGACGAGCCAGCGCTTTAACCACTAGGCTACCCCACCGCCCCTCGTATAGCGAGAGGAAAAGTGCCGTCCGAAAGCATAATCCGACGATAATTAATGCATTGTCACAATCAGTCAGCGCCTTTGATAGTGCTACTTAAAACACAATGATTGTGTTTTTAAGTTGCACTATCAAAGGCGCTGACTGATTTGTTTACTCTATAAAATAGTTAAGCATTATCCCTACATGTTAATATATTCCGGGGGCGGTGGGATAGCCCAGTGGTTAAAGCGCTCACTCGTTACTCTGGAGACCCCTGTTCGATTCCCCACATGGGTACAATTTGTGAAGCCCATTTCTGGTGTTGCCCACAGTGACATTTGCTGGAATATTGCAAAAAGCGGCGTAAAATTAAACTCACCTGCTATCCGAACTTCTATGTATCTAAATATGACATTGGTATCATTTTGATGCCAACACTACCTCCTGAAGAATTAGTACATGAAAAATGGCATAAAATGAATATTCACATTTCGTCATATCATGAAGAACAGGGATCGACTGTCTATGTAGAAACACCAGTCCTTGAAGAACTGATTTCGGTTTCAGCATTTTAATACGAGTGTATTATTGCATACAAAAACAATTAACAAAAATCAAATGCAGGGTAGGCGTGTGAAAAATTGCTTTTTTAAATGGACATGTATGGTAAATCGTGCTCAGTCGTTTCCCAGTTTTGTACGCTTGTAAACAGTGACCAAATGAAAATAGTTAAACATGAAACATGGGTGTCTGTGAACACTTCTTGAGCACCGTTTCGATCTCAGCACTTTGAGTATCGCCACTCCTGCACTGTACCAAAAACAATCGTAGCCGTACAGTGGGTTCGTGAATTGGGGTCCCTGCTACAAGACAGACTTGTTGCACTAAGCATTGCAGTAACATACGAAAGGGTCGCAGGTCTAAGCCTATTGCATGCGAGTGAGGGAATATGGTTTTACGACGCTTTTAGCAATGTTCAAGCAATATCACGGCGGGGAACACTACATTGTACATTGTACTTTTGTGGGGAATCGAAACCGGGTCTTCAGCGTGACGCGCGGACGCTTTACCCCACCGCCCCTCTATCGTCATGAAGGAAGAGTCATTTGTGAAAATAGTGGTGATGACAGCTACGCTTACAGGTCCCCGTTCCACTAGACAATCTTAACGCTACGACGACTGTAAACCAATGGTACTGTATTAGACAATCTTAACGCCACGACGACTGTAAACCAATGTTACTGTATTAGACAATCTTAACGCTACGACGACTGTAAACCAATGTTACTGTATTAGACAATCTTAACGCTACGACGACTGTAAACCAATGTTACTGTATTAGACAATCTTAACGCTACGACGACTGTAAACCAATGTTACTGTATTAGACAATCTTAACGCTACGACGACTGTAAACCAATGTTACTGTATTAGACAATCTTAACGCTACGACGACTGTAAACCAATGTTAATGTATGGCAGTTGTGATCATGTTAGCGCTCAGGGCCCCGTTCCTCAAAGCGATTGTAGCGCTACGACAGTCGTAAGTCTATGTTAAAGTATGGGAGTTACGATCATCGTAGCGCTTTTGAGGAACGGGACCCAGAACGCTTGCGGAACGAGGTCCTGGATATAATCGTAGTGTGTCACATGTCACGTGATGTTACCAATAACAAATTGTTTCCCAAGTCGCAGCGTGTGGAAGTGAACGTTTCATATGGAAACAGACCCCAATGTTTTAACCATACTGTGATATAAATACATAAATGACTGATATAAATACATAACTGAATACATAACATGATATAATATGTTGAAGTGTTTACAGATAACACCAATTGTAGCAATATTACAGCCACATAACAAACACTAACAAATAGCTGCAATTTCTGTAACAAAGTGGAACTCGAACCCAGACCCTTGGTCTGTCAATCGAACACACTACCCATGGAGCCACCTAAATGCGCGGAACAACCACACAGTGATGGTCACTGCTGGCTGTCATGTATGGGCTCTATATATCTCTGGGCGTGGTCGTATATACCTTGTGTAAGCTTTAATTTCAATAAATATATCCTGGTGACAGTTCATGTGGATTTGCAGCATATCTTCAGTTGGTCAGGGAAATAGATCATATTCAGTCGCCATAACTTCCAGCCACCAAACAGGGTCTGCAGAAGCCAGAACACGAAAGAGAACCAACTGCCGATCTGAAACAGGACCATGAAGTATTAAGTTACACACGCACGGACGCACATTTGCGTCGGTTTGTTCTGGGCCCACTTGCACAAAGCGATCTTAGCTTTACGATGAACGTAATCCACATAACAGACTTAAGATGGTCATAGTGCTATGGAACTGTGATACTACTGTCGCAATGACTTCCGTGGCTGGGGTTTGTTTGTTTGCTTGTTGTTTTACGCCGCACTCAGCAATAATCCAGCTGCAGTTGGCTTTATTCCAAAGAGCAATATTCCAGGTGGTCTGTAAGTATTCGAGTCCGGACCAGACAATCAACTGATCACCATCATGAGCATCGATCTACACAATACGGATGCGATGACATGTGTCAACTAAGTCAGCGAGCCTGACCTCCCGATCTCCCGGGTCTCTCAAATTCGAGGTTTGAGAAAAGCTAAAGATGTGAGAATACTTACTGTTGCTATACTTAAACACACGTGGAAGTTGCTGGCATCGTAGCCTCGCCAGTCTTGGAAGAACTGGGCGCCGGAACAACTGCACAGTGATAAAAACAATGATTAAATAAATAACATCATCATTCGTTGCTGTAAGTACATCTGTTAGCTATGGACAAGATGAAATAAACAAGTGACGTGATCTTAGTGTCGATATGGGCAGTGTTTCTGTTATTAGACTATATATCATGCTGGGTCGGCTTTATGGATGAAGTAAGTTCGGAAGTGGTGCGGCGTTAGATGATCACCTCGTTAGTGAAACCCTCGTGGTGGGTGCTGACAATCCAAGAATAACAATCTGGACTTTAAAAACTCGATCATCGGATTCTGGCACGTCAAAGGGACTCAACTCTATGATAGAGATAGTGTTAGCTGACATCGAAGTAGCAATAGAGGTAGATAACAGCTTAGTTTCTGAAAAGAACTGTGAGAAAAACTGCTTCATGTATATTAAAACGTCCCACTGAGGGACATTCAGAAACCCGGGGAAGAGGTAGACTTGCTTCATTTAGGGCGCTTGCATTCCAAGCAAGGATGGGCTTCAGTGTGAATATGGTTCTGTGAGACAGATTGCGATAGAAGTCGGACTGCTGTTACCAGCTGAAGGGTAGTAGCAACAATTGCAGAAATACTTATAGAAGTAGCGGTAGGAGTGATATGGTATGTTGCAGCTTATATAGATACTGACTATAGGTTGGAGCAGTGGGAGAGAGATGGGTGTGTTGGAGGGTACATAGATACTGACTATAGGTTGGAGCAGTGGGAGAAATGGGTGTGTTGGAGGGTACATAGATACTGACTATAGGTTGGAGCAGTAGGAGAGATGGGTGTGTTGGAGGGCACAAAGATACTGACTATAGGTTGGAGCAGTGGGAGAGATGGGTGTGTTGAGGGAGATACTGACTATAGGTTGGAGCAGTAGGAGAGATGGGTGTGTTGGAGGGCACATAGATACTGACTATAGGTTGGAGCAGTGGGAGAGATGGGTGTGTTGGAGGGTACATAGATACTGACTATAGGTTGGAGCAGTAGGAGAGATGGGTGTGTTGGAGGGTACATAGATGACTATAGGTTGACTATGGGTGTGTTGGAGGGCACTGAGTAGGTTGGAGAGATGGGTGTGTTGGAGGGTACATAGATACTGACTATAGGTTGGAGCAGTAGGAGAGAGATGTGTGTGTTGGAGGGTACATAGATACTGACTATAGGTTGGAGCAGTAGGAGAGTGGGTGGAGGGTTGGAGGGGTTGGACATGGGAGAGAGATACATAGATACTGCTGACTATAGGTTGGAGCAGTAGGAGAGATGGGTGTGTTGGAGGGTACATAGATACTGACTATAGGTTGGAGCAGTGGGCAGCAGTGGAGAGATGGGTGTGTTGGAGGGTACATAGATACTGACTATAGGTTGGAGCAGTGGGAGAGATGGGTGTGTTGGAGGGTACATAGATACTGACTATAGGTTGGAGCAGTGGGAGAGGTTGCACATAGATACTGACATAGGAGATGGGTGTGTTGGAGGGTACATAGATACTGACTATAGGTTGGAGCAGTAGGAGAGATGGGTGTGTTGGAGGGTACATAGATACTGACTATAGGTTGGAGCAGTGGAGAGATGGGTGTGTTGGAGGGTACATAGATAGGTTGGACAGGAGAGATGGGTGTGGAGGGTTGGAGCAGTGGGAGAGATGGGTGTGTTGGAGGGTACATAGATACTGACTATAGGTTGGAGCAGTGGGAGAGATGGGTGTGTTGGAGGGTACATAGATACTGACTATAGGTTGGAGCAGTGGGAGAGATGGGTGTGTTGGAGGGTACATAGATACTGACTATAGGTTGGAGCAGTGGGAGAGATGGGTGTGTTGGAGGGTACATAGATAGATACTGGAGCTATAGGTTGGAGCGACTATAGGTTGGAGCAGTAGGAGAGATGGTGTGTTGGAGGGTACATAGATACTGACTATAGGTTGGAGCAGTGGGAGAGATGGGTGTGTTGGAGGGTACATAGATACTGACTATAGGTTGGAGCAGTAGGAGAGATGGGTGTGTTGGAGGGTACATAGATACTGACTATAAGTTGGAGCTCACCTGGCTAAGTTTATCCCGTGGTCACCTGGCTACGTGGTCATTAGCCGTCATGAACTGCTGACACACGTGGCTGAATCCCGCGCTGATAGTACAGGCAGAGACCAGCACCAGCACCAAGACGGCCACCTCGCTGGCACAGTGGACCAGAAACCACAGACGGGCGATGTCCACCCTGGACAGACGAACATGACCAGCAGATCAAATACAGCAGATTAAAAGGGGAAAGGGCTATTGATTAGTCTTTCATTTTGACTACATTGGGTTTTTAGCATGTGTTTGTTTGTATGGTTTGTTTGTTTCAGCAATATTCCAGCAGTCTGTACACAATCGGATCTCGAACAGTGATCAACAGCTTGAGAATCGATCTACGCCATTGGGATACGATGACCTGTGTCAAAAAAGCCAGCGAACCTGACAACCCGATCCCGTTAGTCGCTTCTTACGACAAGCATGGGTTACTGAAGATCAATTCTAACCCGGACATCCACGGGTCACATCAAGTAGAAAAGTAACCACACCTCATCACCCCTAACACATGCAATCACCAGACTTTGTTTCAGTGACATCGTGTTCTTACCCTTGCAATAATACCATTTGAAGCGCCATAAAATCTACTATTTACGCACACCTGTTTTCTGAGACGTTGGCGTGTGTTATCACAAACCAGTTCTTTACTTACTCACATCCTTTACACAGCCTCAGGTTTGTGCCTAAGACATGTTTGATTTCCGACATGGGTACAGTGTGTGAAGCGCATTTTTAGTGTCCATCGACGTGATATTGCTGGGATATTGCTAACAGGTTGTCAACCAATATTGAAACCAATACTCTCACCCAGTTTATCATCGTACCCAGATCGGGTGAGGTGAAATTGGGTTTAACGTCGTGCTCATATGACGACGCGCATGCGTGTGTATGTGTATGTGCGGCTGCCTGTACTAGCCCAGACTTAAGCTGGTTTTATAGTGCTAGCCCACTGAGATACCATGCCGCAGTGAAGCATGAATACCCCACTCAGACACATACTGACTCCGAGCCGACAAGTCCTTGTTGTACCCATTAATGCCCTGCACCAGGCAGGGACCAACAAGTACCATATTTTAACGTCTTTTGATATGACGCGGTCGGGTATCGAACCCGCGGCCTTCCGCTCTCCGGGCGGACGCTCTAACCACTACACCACGGAGGCGGTCGTACCCAGATCGGGGTAGATGACAGTAATATTTGTCATTTTGACGTTAACGTCACCCCTTTCACTTAACGACTACTTACTCTTTGTTTTTCTTCTGTTTAAAATACAAGAACACGTATCCGCCTGCTGCAACGCTGGCGTAGATGAGAGAGAAGGCGACAGCGATGATGATGTTGTAGTCGCAGACGGAGGCGTCAGATGGGAAATGAACTCCAAAATGCCGGTTTGGGGCGCCGACGGTGACATTGTAGATGACGTCTGCGTACAGAAGACATCGGTGACCAAAGTTGATCTGAAAAACGTGGCATTAAAATGAGCATCTAGCGTGTAGAAAATGTTCCACCTGTTAGTACATACATTCCTCAATAACGGTTACCCTGAAATAAGAAAATATTTCATGTCTTCATGGGAATGAATTGTATTTTATACCGCTTTGAATGTTATTTCAATTACGTCACTGTGGTTGGTTGGTTGGTTGGTTGGTTGATTCTGAACTTAGCAATATTCTAACTTCATGACGCTGATCTGTAAACAATCGATTCTTGATTTGACAAGCAAGTGATTGACATCATATGCGTCAATTCAAACAGTTTGGATATACTGACATACAGTCATGGAGGAACATGGTCGCCACAAGCTTTGTATCTACATACACCATTGTTCTATAAACGCCTTGCTAAATATAAATAATAATCTGATAAAATGCATGATGTGAAATCCTGATGAAAAGTTTACATGTGTTCATGTAGGTTTAGAGTAAGACACGATGATGAACCGCAGAGCTTTTCACCTAAGCGTTCTTCAAGGCAACGTATATCTATACATATTTGCGTAACCCCGCGCCGCCCCTCTTGTAAGTAAACCACAACCGTATTTGCTGAGCTGTCACTGGAGAGGTTGATAGTATTTGCTTGTCGATGTCAAGTGGATCTTCACCCAGCTTTGTAGATTTCAATTGTCAATTGTATACAGGTCAAGACCTATGTTCAGAGCTTTCATCGGAGTAAATGTTGATGTGATACTTCAGAAAGAAACAAAGATGTTGCCATCTTTCAGTCACGATAACTATGCATGATTATCAGATAGTAGTTGAAACAGTGAGGTTAGGTGCTAACCCTTTGGAGGGTTCTGAAACTTTTTGCTTTTGAATATTGTGAGTGTGTGTGTGCGTGCGTGCGTGCGTGCGTGCGTGTGTGTGTGTGAATCAAGTATTCACTGTCAGTATTTAGCACTTACTAGGTCAAGATCTTGTGCTTTTTACCACACATAGCGTATTGAATGAGCAACAATTCAAGCCATCAATCTCAACGGATTTGATTTTGAAATGACTGCGATATCAAACACGAATCTCATTCCATGATCGACTATCCGAACAACGGTTTCAGGCTTGCGGACACTCTCCTACCCAGAGTTCCATGCGGCAAGCCAGCATAGTACCTCTGCAACAGGCCAGAAAAATGTGACGATTCGTCACATCTTGCAATGTCCATTCAATATAATGTACAGATTTCTTTTACTCTTTTATTTTTTGACGAGTCTACACATCTAACTAAACATCTTTAATAGAATGGTTTAGTTTCACTGAGAAAATATCCAAAAACATGTAACACTATTTCGATTTGCGTAGCGATCCTTTGTACGGCTCCACGTGCAGTCATCGGAGCCGACGGAGAGCAAACGATGCAGCCAGTTTGATATCTAAATATGTTATGTTAAGTCATCGCTGTGCCGGAGTGTGGCTTGCGGAATGACATAGGTGGGGGGATAACTCTAATTGACAACTAGGAGATAGGCTTGTTGAATCGGTAGAGTGCCTGATAGCTATATTTAAGTATATTTGGAGATAAAGATTTGGTGTTTGACCCTAGATGTATTATCTATAGATAAATATTGATTAAATCAGACGTTCCAACCACGAAACACGTTTTTGTGATTCGAATGCAGCATTCACGAAACTGCTTCCAAGTTGGAGATCCAGCATTGAGATCATCTGACCAAAGAACTACTACAGTCGTCCTGTCCGTCGGGATCAGTGTGTTCAATGCATATTGTATACAACATGTGAATGCATTACACAGGCGATAGGACTGACTCACAGAAACACAAAACATATATCTTCATAACTGTCGCTTCCAGTTAGTGTCATTTACATAACACTGATAGACGTAACTTTCAATTTCGGCTTCCTTCATTAACATAACAATGACACCCGCTATTTTCATTGTCAGTTGCTGTCATTTCCATAATATTGATATCATTGCAATTTCGGTTGCTGTCACAGACTGGGCTATTGACCGTGCCAGGGGGTGTCGCTAATTCATTACATGTGACCTGTGTTTCAGGCAGAGAAATTAACATGATAAAATTAGTATCACCGCATTTACTCTAAGACCATGTATCTAAGGGATAAGTTTACGACTTCCTTGATGATCATTATTGATTTATATACCTATCTACTGGGGATTTATTAATATAATATCTGTATTTATAAATCAGGTTTTATGACCAGTTGCTGTCTCTTTAAGGACGGAATTAGAACTGATACAGGTGAGAAGATTGTGAAAAAATATAAGAACAAATGGACATAAATATAGATCGAGCAGCGACAGTGAAACAAGGGCCTATAAACCTTCGTCGGGATGACGTACAGGAGTCACGACCTTGTATGGTTGTCGTCCTCGTGTCTCGACCTAGCTGTAGTGGTTCTCCAGCCACACGTCCTTTCATAATCTTATGACCTACACTTCTATTGGAAAAGTTTGACTGACACTGCTGACCCTGGTATATTGCTGATTCTGCATAAAAATGTATTTATTATAACTCGGACCTATGCCTACTTCAGCTGTATCTCTTACTTGCTATAACACGTGTCGTATATATGATGTGTACCTACGTCCCTTGATTAACTGCCCCTTGTCATGTGGACACAATGCCAGTGTGTACACACTGCCCGTCCACCGGGGCCCTAGAATCTACTTGAGAGGTGACTGCTACGAATATATGTCACTGGCATAAAACACTCATGTTTGATTCATGCAACAAATGCTACAGACACGTGCAGTTATATACTACTCGACAGAAGCCTAGGAGCAGCCGGCATGGCTTAACTACAGTAATATGAAAGTATAGGGATTTCCTTAACTTCTTTAGAGTAGAATATACACAACCATGGGATGGGCTACAGTAAAATGAAGGTACCAAACGTTGTTATCGGGTCACGAAAATATCATGTGCTATGCTATTTCAGTGTTGTAGTGAGTGAGTGAGTTTAGTTTTATGCCGCTTTTCGCAATATTGCAGCAATATCACGGCGGGGTTTATCATGTGGAGAATCGAACCCGCCTTTTCGGCGTGACGAGCGAACGCTTTAACCACTAGGCTACGCCACCGCCCCTTCAGCGTTTTAGAATCACTGTTACCATACTATAAAACAGATAATTCGAACTTCAGTATCTCGACATATCGTTTAAGATATTACACTCCCTTTACAAGCATTGTTTACAAAGTACATCAACATTTATTCTGATATCCAGTGTAACAAACGATTTTCTTGCAGTTTGTACCGTCGTGTTTTCTGCTTACACGGACTTTGTTTCATGGTGTTCAAAGCTGGCCTGGTCTCGTAATGAAATTTGTACTGAGGCTGTTTTAGACGGGGCGTAGCTGGTTGAGCAAATACAGTTGTTTACTTGTCTATTTCAGCCGTCAACCAATTCAAGGTTTAGCTGGCAACGATCTGTCATCTCGTTGAGTAATGCTACAAATTACGATGTTATGGCGGTGAACATAAATACTGGATCCCCGCGCCCCCTTCCCCTAGTGATGATATACCAATAAAATGGGGAAAAACATCTACTCTTGGACGACTGACGTTTGACTGACTGACTGACTGACTGACTGAGTTTGGTTTTACGCCGCTTTTAGCAATATTCCAGCAACATCACGGCGGGGGACACCAGAAATGGGCTTCACACATTGTGCCCATGTGGGAATTCGAACCCGGGTCTATGGCGTGACGAGCCGACTGACGTTTGAAAGTACCCTCGTTATCTAACATTACTGTAGTAGCTTTCTGCCTGTGTTCAGTAGCCCTTTGGTATATTTTGTCTGTTACCTATTCAATCCTTTTGCTGTCGTCATTTTATGAATAGTTACCATTTTAAAAAAGCCTTGAAACTCTTAATCTGTCCACCTCAACACGTTGATAACCTAGGTCAGCGTGACACGGCCCCTACGAGCTGTTACAGTTATGTCAGACGAACACGTGTTGTTCAAAACACACAGCCCAGGTTTGTGTGACAGAAACGATTTTATCTAAATGCACGTCAGCCTAACTGTACCGGTATATAATAACTGCCAATATTGTGGCTGTTTCAATTTCACAGCATTTCTACCATCGTCGCTTCCCTTGTATGAACACAGGCTAACGGCCATCGTCACTCCAATCCTCGAACCCACTAACGGTCATCGTCACTCCGATCCTCGAACTCAGACTAACGACATCTTTGTTAATGTATAGGACTAACGATAATCGTAAATATGCGTTACGGAATGGAATTAACGCCATTCGTACGTCTGTCTTACAATAAAGGAGTTACGGCAATCATAGGTCCGGGGTTTGGTATACGGCTTACAACAGTAGGAGGTCTATGTGAAAGAACAGAGTTAAGACAGTCGTGCAGCTGTGTTAAAGTAAATGGTAACGGTAGTCCTAGGTAGTTCTGTTAAAGTGCAGGGCTTCGCCAGTCGCGCAGCTGTAAAAGGTTACGGTAGTCCTAGGTAGGTGTGTGTTAAAGTACAGTGTTACGATAGTTGTGCAGCTGTGTTAAAGTAAAATGTTACGGTAGTCCTAGGTTGGTCTCTATTAAAGTATAGGGTTTCGCCAGTCGCGCAGCTGTAAAAAGTTACGGTAGTCCTAGGTAGGTCTCTATTAAAGTATAGGGTTTCGCCAGTCGCGCTGATGTAAAAGGTTACGGTAGTCCTAGGTAGGTCTGTGTTAATGTACAGTGTTACGACAGTCGTGCAGCTGTGTTAAAGTAAAAAATTACGGTAGTCCTAGGTAGGTCTGTGTTAAAGTATAGGGTTACGACAGCCGTGCAGCTGCGTTAAAGTAAATGGTAACGGCAGTCCTAGGTAGTGCTGTGTTAAAGTGCAGGGTTACGCAGCGCGCAGCTGTAAAATATTAAAGTAAAAGTAAATGACAGTAACTGTGTTAATGTAAAGGGCGGTAGTCCTAGGTAGGTCTAGGTAGCCGTGCAGCTGTGTTTAAAGTGCAGGGTTACGCCAGTCGCG